GGTTTGTTTTGAGTGTCAATTTTTGTAAAAAAAAAAAAAAAAAAAAAATCTCTCTGGACCATCTGAGTCATGAGAGCTCTATTTTGTTAGGGCGGAATACAATTTATTACATTTCCAAAACCCAAAAGGATTCTGGACTAATGCAAGAAATGGATCAAGGCCTGCAGCCGACCTCATGTCCAGTTGAATGAAGCTGTGATCCACGGCAACTACCACACGTTCATCTGTACAAAGGTAACTGGTAGCTAACATTACTTTTTTTTTTTGTCATAATGACTTATTGATAGTCAAAGAATCAGTAAGTGAAGGTAGTTATGCTTGAATTTATGTGTGTAAATTCAAGCGCATGTTTTCATGCTGCTCCATGGCAGCATGAAAACATGCGCTACAGTAACTGTGGTATTTACATTTGAGCACCTTTTTATGCTAATGCTTATTTTTAAGCATATTTCTGAAGGCAGATTTTCACAAGTCTATTATTTAAGTCATTACTCGCCTGTTAAATACATGCAAAATATGTCCAACACAGCTTTCACACTCAATTCAATTTCACTGTGATGGCATCCAATGAGATTTTGTGATTTCTCTGTTGCTTTCCGCAAATATCCTTCCAGACCTGATGTAGGACTCGTTAAAGAATTTCCTTGCCTGTTGCCTTTGCCTCAGTGTTGGCTTATAAGGCAAAAATGACTCCAAAAATGTCTCTGGTTGAGTTGAGTTCCACTGCCCAGCTGCGATTGTACAAGTTTGTTTTGCTCTACTTCTGCATGGGGGCAGAGCTGGTGTCATGCCGAGCTTTAGGACTACTAATTAATGGACTATTTTGTGTCAGAAGATAATTTTTTAACATAAAATTTGTTAATGCAGTCAAATCACCTAAAAAAAAAAAAGAGCGAGATTAGACCACTGCAATTAAAGATTTTATTAATTTTGGGGTTTTTTACTTAAAGTTACAAATAAGTGTAAAAGACATTGTAATAGTGTGCATGTTTCAGTAGTTATAGTAGTGGTAGTAATGGTAAAATTAGTTTCAATGTATTTATTTACCACTTCATGGTAGCATAGCTCTTGTGCTGGAGATGCACAATGTACAAATGTCTTCTTGCAGCAATATATCTCATAAAGTTGGTTGATATCCTTATTTGTGTGTGTCTTAAACGAGAAATACCATCAGATCTAGTTTGTCTTTAAAAGCGTTTTGTCAGCTCAACTTTGGTCTGAAAAAAACTCTGGAAATATAACATTATATTTTACCTTTGGAAGTGATTTCGAACTGAAAACAGCAATAAATAAATAAATAAATAAATAAATAAAGGTAATTTTTATGTACTGCATAAAAAGAAAAAGAAGAAGTGCTTGGATAGTAACCTGCTGAGGTAAATTACATCTGGAGCAATTTAATTTCACTGTGATGGCATCCGAATCCAGCCGTTGACATGACTAATCATCTGCCAGAGCTACTTTTGACATGCTGAGGTGTTATTCTTTGAAGTGTTTTGGCTTTGTGACAGAAAGCTTAGCAGACACAGTGGAACTGTGCCAAAGAGGAATGGAGTGTTGCAGTGTGAACTGCTGGCAGGGAGACGGTTGCACTACAGCCAAGCATTTTGTTTGGGTAGTTCATGGTACCAGGACAGGAGCCAAACGTTTCCGTGGTGGAATTTAAAATGAAGTTTAAAAACAACATTTACAGGACATAAATTTGTTCTTCTTGATTTAAATGTTTAGCTGGTTATAAACTGACTGATGGTGAAAGTGTAGTTCAGGCTGTCTTTAAAAAAGAAAGACAGGAGAGCAGGTGATAGGCTAATGTCTAGGCTGACTCTAATGTTATTTCAGATCAAATAAAACTCCCGCTCAGATTGTACAAACTGTTCTGTCCGTTTTTCTGTCAGAATAAAGGACATAATATACTCAGCAACTCCAGCGTTATTTGGCTATGACTCAAACTAACCACCAGATGTCCTCATTAACACAAAAAACCTGTGTCCTCTGGCAGAGGTAGAGGGAATCTGTTGTCAAAACTGACAAACTGCACAATGCCTTGAAAAGGTTCTTATACACCTTAAAGTATATCACATTTTACAACAATATAACTTCAGAGCATTTTATATGGAGTTTAGATCAACACAGAGTAGAACACAATTGTTAAGATGACAGATCAACACAGAGCACATATTTGTAAGAGGAATAAAATATACATTATTTTCTACATATTTCCATATTTCACACTATGAACAAAACAACAATATAACCAACTACCTTTAAAGACAGCCCACCTGTTTGTATTTTATTCTCAATATGAATACAAGTGTTCTGTGAAGAACTCAGAGAACTCTACAGAACATCCAGTATGGTGGAGGCAGCGTCATGCTGTGGCAATGCTCTTTTTAACTGGAGGGGATAAAGTTATGAAGAAGTTTAAAATAAAATGAAGCTTAGGAAAACTATCCCAAGTTCTGAACATCTTACAGAGCAGTGCCGAATGCATCATCAAAATGTAAAAATAAGTTTACATTTTAACCTTATTTTAACATTTGAAAATAAGTTTGCAATGTAAATTTGTCAAGACTTCCATTCAAACCGACATGCATGGCATGGAGAGCATTGATCAGAGAAGCAGCCACAATGTTAATGTAACTCTGGAGACCCTGCAGGGATTTGTAGCTCACGAAGGAGAATCTGCCAATAGGACAACTAGTACTCCATAAATCTGGTGTTTGAGCAGATAGCCAGAAGTCCTGACTGGAGTCCAGCAAGCTGGGATGCAGCAAGCATGTGGAAGAAGTTCATCTATAATTTGGATGAGATCAAAATTTAACATTTTAGCCTGAAATTAGCATACTTTCTTAGTGGGGAAATGCTGTACATCACCCTGAGCACCACATCTCCTCCATGAACTATGGTGACAGCTTCAGTGGGAATGGATGGAGCTAATTACGGCCAGAACTTCAATGGAGTAGAGGGATGGATCTTTGACAGTCTCTATTTTGTAAAAGAACAAATCTCTCTTGACCATCTGAGTCATGAGAGCTCTGTTTTGTTTGGGTGGAATATAATATTTATTACATTTCCAAAACCCAAAAGGAGCCTGGAAGAATGCAAGAAATGGATCAAGGCCTGCAGCTGACCTCATGTCCGATTGAATGAAGCTGTGATCTACGGCAACTACCTCGTCTGTACAAAGGTAGCTGTCAGCTAACATTACATTTTTTGTCATAATGACACTTATTGATAGTCAAAGGATCAGTAAGTGAAGGTAGTTATGCTTAGCCTAATAAGCTAGAGCTTAATCAGGTTGGGAGCCTGCAGAGAGACTTTCCCATCTCTCTTCAACTGTCCTACTGACTGAGCTTAAATTAAATTGCATTGATACATTTTTAGTCTCTAGAGCCTAGACATACAAGTGGTAAAGACACACTAGCAAAGATATATAGATGTAAATGCTGAACAATTTTGTCCTACAAACTTTTCAGATTTTTATTAAGAAAATAAAAACCATACATCATTTTCTTTCCACTTTATAATTGTGCACAGCTTCATCCTCCTATGTCACATATAATGTTTATAAAGCTTGTTGCTGGGATTTAGCAATCCATTACGTATGGCTAGATACTTTCCAGATTGGATATACTATGTTTTACAATAAATGTGCTTCAAAGAGAAAGAAAACCAGAGTGTCTATGAGCAGAATTTTTTTTTTCTTTAATTTTGTAGACATCTACTGTATTTCAATTATCAAACACAAATAGAACCATGAGCTTCTCGACACATTATGTTTAAAACTTTACATTTGTTTATGTTTAAAATTTAACATTTGTTTAGTGGAGGTTTCAGCTAAATCAACCTAACAATTAGTAGTAGGTGAAAAACAGAAAAAGTATGAAATTCACTGGGCCAAACTAGGTTCTCACAAAACACAAAGCAATCAAGAAAAAAAGATTTTAAAATAATCTGTTTCCACCTTATCCATCCATTGAATACGCAGAGGCAAATATTTTCAGATGTCAAGTCTTACACTTCAGCTTATTTAGATTTTTGTTGTAACACCTTAGAGTGCACAAAAGCAAACTAACAGAAATACTCTAAACATAGTGTTATGCCATTTTAATTTATACAGTCAAGTCTGCTCTTTTGAGTTTTGAAATAACATTTTATCCAAATATGTGCGGACCTTGCAGGCCACAAGGCCAGAGTACGTCTTAAGCAGGGAACATTTTCCACCTTTCTGTTGAAGGTCTTGCCACACTCGTTCTAGCTCCTGGCTCCCCATTCCTGCCGAGCTGAACAGATGTCGGTAGCAGCAGGCATTGTAGTGGATGTGTCTCTCTCCTGAGAACCTGGCACTGTGAGTTGGTGTGACGCCCGCTTTCTGAGCACAGAAACCTACAAAAACGTCAACCGGGATGGGGGTAAGGACCGACGACGATGCAACGTAGACTTTACGGGCCACATCCTGCGACAAAATGTAAGCAGTTCCTTCACAGTACTCTGGTAGATACTTGTCAGGATAGAGAATGCGGGAAAGGTAGCGTGGGCTCTTGGGGTTCCTGTCAGGGGACTCTTTCTGGATCACTCTGCCTAGATACAGGTCTTCTGAATTCCTGTGAAGCCCCCGCAGGTAGCTTCCAATGGCAGGTAGATTTATGAACACAGAGTCCTCAGTCAACAGAACCAAATGTGCGCGAGGACAGAAAGTGATTACCCAACGAAGAGCCAGCAGTGTGTTCTTCTTTGCTCCATAGAGGGACGACACATCTACGACACGGCTTTGGATCAAATCACCATGAAGTTCAGACTCTTTGATGAGATCCTGTTGGGTGGTAGAAGATTCAGTCGATGCTGTGAAGAAGAGTACCTTAATGGGAAATTCTTGAATTTGTGTTTGGTTTGCCCACGTTCTCCTCACTGCATTTCTTTGGGTGATGTTGGCTGGAGAGCTGAAGACCAGAGCGAAGAGGAAGAGATCGGGTTTTCTGCAGGCATCGGGATTAGAAATTATATAATCCCTGGATACATTCTGTCTTGTGGTGCTCAAGTCCAGTTTTCTTGCTCTCTCCCTCACATCTGCAACCATGCCGTCAGTGTAAACCACGGGGGACGGCTGCAGGAGGTACTCCTCAACAAAATCTGCCCCGAACAGCAATGCATGGAACAGCAAGATGTTGAACAGGAGGAAACACCACTGATGGGTACGCAGCTTACACAACCAACACTGCAAGTGTCAAAAAAAGGAATTATTCTAAATGCAGTATATGAATCTTTTTTAAAAAAATTAAATTTATGAGTTCAAAAAACATGGTTTGTACCTGCATGACAGCTGCTGCAAAAGCCTCGTTGCTCATCTGTTTATTATCTGCAAGTGATTATTGGACCCGCCACGGCAGAAGGCTCTACAACAATAACAGCTGACCACACAGGGTTTCCACTTTCATGAAACCCAAGGACAATGTAACTGTGCACCCTGATCCCAACTGAGATCTTGATTTCGAGGAGTCCGCCTTACATTATGCATACTAATTCAGTGACATGTAGAAAGAGTAGCTGATTAAAGCCAAAAGATCGTTGAAGATTCACCATTCACCACAAACTACTGAGGCAAATAAATGACATTGATCCAATGAGACCAAAATCGAGCATTTTGGCCTACAAAACAGGCTGTAACATGGTTTTAAGAAGCATGTAACTCTGCACCCTGTGGTCACGTCTTCATTTAGAAGAGTGTATGCATACTAATTTACTGACATGTTTAAACAGTAGCTCCAAAAGGTGAACCTTTCTTAAAATTTTATCGATCAACTTGACTTATTAGGCAATATGTAGCTCACATTATTTTAATAATACCCCCTTACTGGATTCTTATTAATTTAACAAGCAATATGTTGCAGATGTCAAAATTAAAATATAGGCCCTGGAAAAGATTTCAGAATATTGATCCAAATTATAAATGGAGTAAGACAAATGGCACTTGGCCTTTTATTAGAAAAGCTGTGGCTTATAAAACTTTGTTATTCAAACGTTGGAGGGATGTGAAGAGGTGAAATGTTTTACAGGTACAGTGGGACATCATCAAGTTTTAGTTGAATGTTTTTTCTGGCCCAGTGCAAAACACAGTTGATGGGTCTTTAAAGCCATTTATTGAGAATCCATGTGGATGTTGTAACCCGGTGCAAATTCTGCACTCAATCTAATGCTGATACAGCTATATTTCCACAGACCATCATGTCTTGAGTATTTTAAGAGTGAAGTTTAAGAGTCACATGGTGGTTAGCACTGCTGATTCATGGAACAACTCCTAACTAAATATTAGAGTTAAATGTTTAGATGCCACAGCTTTTCCAAATACATGGCTTCCTCCCACTGTGGAAAAACATTGATCACAGTGAGCTTACAAAATCTGTGACCATGATAGTCTCTCACTCTCTTTAATTGTAAAAGCTGTACAAGCTCTCAATAGGATCAATGGATTGTACAGAAAATATTATCCCTATTTACGCTTGAAAGTAAAGTTATGAAATAAGGTAAGAAACAAACAAAAAAAGAAAAGTGATTAATGCAGGAGTGAGTGGAAAATTTATTTTCAGTAATTTTGCTTTTTTTGAGTTATTTTATTATTTTAAGACAATCTTAAAAGCATACAATTGTGGCTGGTGTTATATGGTGCAATAATATCTCTCAATACCGAGCAAATAAGTTAGAAGGGAAGGCAGTCGAGCAAGGTAAATAAAGTAATCATGGGTGTTTTATTCCCACTTAGTCCACTAGGTGGTGGTAATGCGCTCCTGGTTGTGTGAGGCTAATGTGACATGAAGAAGAAGCGGAAGTCGTGGATTCCAAACAGAAACAGTCATGGCAGCCACCATTCAAAGTTTGCTGGAAGAAATATCCGGAGTTGAAGACCCAGTAGAAGAGTTACAGAGCTTAAAAACTGCTTTGCTGTCCATTCCAGTCAGCGCCCTGAGAGACGTCCTGAGCGGACAGCGTTTCGATGTGATTTTCTCTCTGCTGAACACTAATGAAAGGTTGGTTTGTCTGTCTCGGTCTTGTTTACACTCTGTTGAACTCAACGATTGCCCATTTATTGCTGAGTCAGTGAGCATGTTACTCAGCTGTAGCTGCTTGAACAACTAATGGGTTAGCATAACCGTAAGGATAACGACAGGAGAGGCTAGCTAACCTCTCCTGTATCCGGCATGCAACTAAGGCTTTTTGTCAGGTGACCACAATGCTACACTACTTCAGTTTATTTTCAGTCATGTTCTCTGAAACTAAAGTTTTGTTGTTGTTGTTGTTGTTTTTAGCAGACCCAGCCCTGTTTTATTCACAGACATACTTTAAGTAAATGCATAAGAATTTTTTCCAACATTTTCCAGCCGTCCCTTAAATTGAGCAACTGCAAGAATACAAGTTTGATAGTTTGGTATAACTTTCAGTTAGAGCTATATTAGAATAATATCATGGTCAAGATGCTAAAGATCACATATAGTAGAGAGGTGGGTGTGGATATTTAATTTATTTTTAAACTACGATATGATGACGTTGAAAAGATGAAGTGGATTTAATAAACTGTTAGTTGCTGATGTAAACCATTTGTTACAGAGGTTTTGAGTTATTAATATGTTCTGTGTTCACAGGGAGCAGGTTGATCTGTGTGTGGACATTCTTGAACGCATCCTAATAGCCCTCAGTCCTTTGCATTTGGTGCAGAACTACAGAGGAAAGCTGCAAGAGGGTTTGAGCCATCCAAACGACACAGTTAAGATACTGGCTTTGACACAGGTAGGGAGTTTGGACATGTACAGTAGATAGCAGCCAGTAAAACAAATATTTTATTAGCCTTTGTTTTCCTTTCAGATTGGCAGGGTGGTGGAGCACCCAGACGCTGTCACACAAATCCTCAACATCCATGACATTTTACGGGCAGTGATCCTTTGCATCGGTGAGGAGAAAATTGCTGTGGCAAAACAGGTGAAAATTTTAGACACTGAAAGTATTTTGTTCCAGTTCGTCCAACCTACATGGTGTGCAATAACTGCTGTTTGTCTTCTTCTTCTTCTTCCAGGCAATTCAGTCCCTTTCTAAAATAAGTCACTCTAAGTCTGGATTAGACAAGTTATTTCAGAGTGATCTCCTTGAAGTCATGAAGGAAGTGATGGGCAAAAACGACATAATCAGATACAGAATATATGAGGTGATTTAAATTCCCTCGTTTTTTTTCCTGAAAATATTAGATGAATGTATGAATGTTTCATTTTTCATACTTGTTCACATGAAAATAGTTTGCTTACAAAGTAAAATAACACAATTGCTGCAAAATAAGTGTTCTCCACTTTATTTCTTTTTTCATTTTTTTTTTTTTTAAAACCTGTCACGTGACCAGCTCCTCTCGTCCTTCTTTCTGCTTCCAGCTGGTGGTTGAAATCTCATCATTTTCTCCAATTTCTCTCGGTTACTGTGCCAACAGCGGCCTCATTTCCCAGCTGCTCAGCGAGCTGACTGGAGACGACGTCCTAATCAGGTAGCGACAGTTTTTGTATCAGTAAAAACTAATGCATATCATGTTTGTTTATCTTCTTTCTGACAGGGTTCCCATGCTTTTCGCAGAGACTATTTTTATTTGTGTCTTTCCCACCAGGGCCACTTCGATTGAGATGGTGACCACTCTGGCTCACAGTCAGCATGGTCGCCAGTATTTGGCCCAGCAGGGCATAATGGATAAGATTTCCAACATGATCAGAGGAGCCGATATGGACCCGTTTGCCTCCCTCTACCTTCCAGGTGAATACGTTTTCAAAACTACTTTCACAATTCAGTACCAGCAATCAAATGGTGGTTTTGCATTTTGGTGTCCTTGTTCTTCTTATCTGAAAAAAAAAATGAAGTAGTTGACTCAATAAGGGCACTTTGAAACTTGTTTTTACTTTTCAGGAAATGTTAATCAGAACTCTGACCCTTACTGAATATATGCTGCTGGTTTAGGTTTGGTGAAATTCTTTGGGAACCTGGCCATTACGGACAGCCCCCAGCAGGTTTGTGAATCCTACCCCATCTTCCTGAACAAGGTGTTTGACATGGCCATGGATTCGGATCCCGTCATGGTTGGTGTGGCCCTGGACACTTTGGGATTACTTGGTTGTACAGTCGAGGGGAAACAGGTTCTCCAGAAGACGGGTAGGTGTGATTTCTGTAGGTCTGGATTTTTGTGTCTTTCTCCATAATTTAAATGAACAAATGTGTTCGAAAATCACTCACGGGAGTGGGCCAAGTGAATTGAGTAATAACTTTTATTAGCAGGACAAAACTAAATGTAAATACACCAACCGGCAGAGAAAAAAAGGCTTTACAATCAATGTTTCTCTAAATTTGATTGATCTTAAAAGAACTGTAAAGCCTGGAATAAAATGACCATTTACTGTAATGTTTACATACGTTTTTATATTTTTCTGTTATTTACACTTAGTGATTTCTTTGGGAGGTTTTCTGGTCATCTGAGATCACATCGAAGTCAATTATTCAGTCAAGCAGAGGAGTCATAACCATCTTATGCCTAAAAGTTCTTAATTATTACTACTGTTTTTTTGTTGTTTTTTTTTGTAATTAGGAGAAAACTTCAAGTCTGTGTTCTTGAGAATCAGCCAACATGCTAGTTCTGGAGCTACTGAGCTCAGAGTTCGAAGCTTGGATGCCATATCACAGCTGCTCACCCTTCTGGTAAAGAAACAATCTGGTCAAAAACGTTACTGTGATACAGTTGAATACACTTCATTAATCAACTCAACTTTGGCATTTTTATGAGTTTCTACCTTTTTTTTTTTATTTTTTACAGCCGGAGCATCAGACAGAAGACCTTCTGTCCCTTACGGAGTCCTGGTTCCACCTTCTGTCTAACCAGCCAATGGATATGATTCGCAACATCAGCACTCAGCCTTTTCCAGAGCTGCACTGCAGGGCTTTGAGGATCTTCTCTGTAAGTATCCTCCATCATTACTTCCTGTTTACCCAGTCATTGCCTTAAAAACTAAAGAACTGTACCATTATTTCACAAGAGCAGATGGTGACAAGAGATGGTGACAAGTGATAATTAATACCATGTTTGTGTGTATTTATTAGGCCATTGCAAGCCAGCCGTGGGGTCAGAAGATGATGGTTAACACTCCTGGTTTCATGGAGTTCATTCTGGATCGCTCAACTGGTCAATCAAAGGAGGCGAAAGATGCCAAATTTGAACTGGTGGGATCTCTTCTGGGCTCATCTACAGCGTCAGAAATACTGGGCAGTCAGAACTACATCCGCCTGAAGACGTATCTGAGTGAAGGACCCTACTACGTATCAGCCGTGGCCTCCGTCAGCACGGAAGGAGCCGACTAATTCACTTAAAGTCGGCATACACACTAGGCTTTATTGTTTAAGTATTTGGTGAATTCATTGTTAACAAAACGCCTCATTTTGATACCTATTTTGTTTAAAGATAACAGATTTTTAGCTTAAATTGGCAAATGTACCATGAATCACTAGAAAATGACAAATAAAAGACTATTAGCCATTGAAGCTGTTTAGATACTTTTAGAGAAATAATTGGCGTAAAATTACTTGAATGACTTTATACATTTAAAATTGTAATAGAAGGGAAGCAAAAAGCAAGCTTTCATGTTTTTAACCACTTAGTTAAGCAATAAACTCTATAATATGTCAGATAGTACAAGTTTTTCATCCAGAGACGCTGTTCAGTTTTTTTTCTACGCTTTAAACTTTGAACTTATCACAACAACTTCTCTCCAAAGTTATGTTTCTTTTTGTGTCAGTGATTTTTTTTTTTTTTAATAAATGTTTACAAATATATATTTCTTTACCTTTCATGTATAGGAAAACAAGTCATGAACAAATAAATTTGGTTTGGGAGATTCAAAATAACATTCTTTGAAATTCCATTTTAAGATAAGACATAACTTTATTAATCCCCCATGGGGGGAAATTACATAATTGAATTTATTTAAAGCTAGATTATTTATATTTGTACTTCTAAATTAAAATGAGAATCTTTACAAAATGGAAGCATATAGTACAGTAGCAGTCTCTTCTATTTTAAACCTTTGTTCAAAATTAAATTTCCGTGCCATGTTTCAGAAATGCTGCAGCTTCTAGCAATTTTAATAATAGTTCAAAAATGGCACTTTAATATTTTAGATGAGATGGAGGTAATAAAATGGAAAAAACACACAGTTGTATATATGGCACATTATTTGCATAAATGTGCAATGATATTCAAATGTCTTGAGGCGCTTTTTATATTCTCTTCAAATGTTATTCTAAGACACTTTTTAAGACACTTTAAGAGTCAAGTATTAAATAATTTTTATGTACCATCAACACAAATCAATTGATTAAATATTTGGTATGCAGTAAAATGATCCTCAGGTCACAGAAAAAGACTAAGGGCAAAATCGTTGTCCTTTAATGTAAAAAGAACTAATTACAGGGGGACAATTTATTAGGTTAGATAAAATGACTTTATTGAAGTTCAGCACTAAGTCCTACTTTAATTAACTGCAGCTTCTGGAGGTTTCCCAGAAGCTGCAATCTGGCCATTAATCAAGGCTGCAATTTGCAATAGTGGAGCATTCCATCACTAAAACAGCCAGAGGGTTTGCTACTAAATACTGATAGAAAATGCTATTGCGTATGGTAAATGACTGATGGTTGTCCATCTTACCAGTTGGCCTACAGTAATTTGATGGGGTTGAATCATTTTTGGTGCAATTAATAATATATCTGGTACAAAATATGTAGGTTCAGAAGTTATTGTTGTAATGTACTAAGTTCTGAAAATTATTCCTTAAGCAGTTCAAACAAAATCTTAAATTGTGCATCATAATCAGCAAAATGGTGGAATTTTAAAAGTAATGTCTAAAAGTTGTTTTAACATTACTTTTTGTTTTGCATTAAATACCTCATCTATTTGTAGTGAATCAGTCCTAAACAAAGCATGTTAATAAAGTAGAGAGGATATAGTGTTACAGGTTGCTTACAGCCCTGGAAAAAGTTAAGAGCCCTCTGCACTGAACCCCATTGAAAACATAGTTGTTCCACCAAATATTGATTTCTGAACTCTTCCTGAGTTAAAATGTTAGTATTGCCGTTTCTAAATGAATACAAACTTGCTTTCTTTGCATTATTTGAGGTCTGGAAGCATCTTTTTAGTTATTTTGACCATTTCTCGTTGTCTACAAATACAAAATTTTGGCTTGGAATTTCTAATACATGCTGTCAGTAGTTCATAGAATAAAAGAACAATGTTCATTTTACTCAAAAAATATACCTATGAAAAGTAAAATCAGAGAAATTGATCATTTAAAGTGGTCTCTTAATTTTTTCCAGATCTGTACATCTAAATATTTAAAACCTTCCAGGTACTTTAATGTAGTCTTTTCTGTGACAGATAATACTTTTAAGCGTTTCACATTCTAGCTCATTTAAAAATGCAATTAGTGTATTCTGCTGAGTCATTCTCAATGCAAAATGGCTCTGACATCCCCTGGTCGCATTAAAACGTGTCTGCAGGTGGAGTATCACGTCTTTCCATCGCCACAGCATTAAAACAACAAAAACACTTTTCTCCTGTGAGCTCTGACTCAACCTCAAGCATCCATAATAAGCTTGAAACTCATGAGCAACCTCACATCACCGTGTCCCCTGTGACTCATCGGTTCACCCACGTCTTCTCCTCCGTGTGCCAACGGATCATCGGAAAAAAATATCCCGTCAGTCTTTTCACTTGATATTTGATTTCTGACATTCGCTTCGTAAAAAGGCAGAACAGGGATGGAAAGAAAAAGAACAAAGCGTGCAGGGAGGGAGCAGTCTTAACATGTGGAGATGCTTTTCTTTGTGCTTTTTCACCAAGGTCACTGTGTCCTCCCTGTAATTAAATCTGTTCTCATAATGTAAAAGCAAAAACTTAGGAATTTGTCTTGCTGTAGAGTGTCTTGTTAGACTCGGTGATGATGTAGATGTTTCTACCAGTTGATTTTTTTTCCCCTCGTAGATAAATACAATGGCTAATTCTTATACTGGCTTCATATTTTCTAAAGGTTGGAGAATCTGAGATGGACAAGATGCGGAAAGTAGGAGGAAATGTGAAATTTTGCTTCAATGGTGAATCAGCCCTCCATCATCAATTAGGTTGTGTCAATCACACGGGTTCAACAACAGGTTTGTCGCTATAATGCCTTCATTTTTCAGCTCTTATTAGGCTCTTGGACCATCATTTTATAGACTTTATTGTTGCCTAACACCTAAACCCATTTCCACACATTTCGTGAGTGCTTTGTTTAATGTGATTTCAAAACCACTTTGCAGTAATTCAACTGAGCAAAGTACCCATCATTACAATTTATCTCAGTGGCATCTGTTTCCGAGCACTTGCAGAACAGATCACTTTTTTGGCAATAGATATAATGCCTTGCAAAAAGCTTTTAACTCTTTCAAATTTTGGCATGTATTCTATATATTTTATTATATTTTAATGTGATAAACAAGCAAATAGTGTATAATTGTGAAGAGAAAAAATAATTTCTAAGTAAAAAACATATAAAGGGAATAGTGCTGTTGTACTCAATCAATTCAGCTGTTATTTGTCTAACAGCTTTTTTTATTATATATTATGTTATATTTTATTAAAAATTTCCATAATTCTTTGCAAAATAGCTGAACTTCTCTCTGATTGGATGAAAAATGTCTACATAGCATAATTTTTTACATTTTGCCTAATGAATATGCTTTGACCTAAATCTGATTGAATCACCTGAATAGTGCATCTCTGCAGCTCGAAATTCAATTTGCTCAAATTCCTCTGTAAGTTTAGGTGGACATTCGGGTCTTGGTAGGAAACCCAGACTCAAATCAAAACACTTTTTTACTCAATAGAAACCTGAAAATACGTGATGAAAATTCAAGTTTAAAAATCAATAATAATCTAAATAGTTTCCATACGTGAGAAAATGTGCAATTATTCATTCATAATTATTGTATTTTACCTGAATGTTTTATGTGGTAATACACATAAAGTCCACCAGATGGTGCTGCTCTCCCTTTCACCTGTGCTGAAGCAGGAGGACCCTGTCATGTTCACCGCTGCAGACCTGTCTCTCCTGTGCGTCTCGCCCCCCTGTGACGCTGCCAGTCTCGGTTTCTGCCTCCCGTTCAATAGTCCCACCTACATCCTTCAGTTTGTCAGTTTTCTAACCTCATTACACAGTCCTCACTTTGGCTTGCAGCCTCTTAGGTGCGTAGGTGGGGAAAACAAAACACTCTCCTCCAAAATGCACCTGCATAGGTGAGAGGCGCAAGTACAAGGAGGGATAACTTTTGTTGAACAGGAGCGCCTTTTATTTATTTATTTATTTATTTAATTTTTGGTCGTGGGTACGCTCCTACCTGGCAGATCGCCCTCCGATGCAATTAACCCAGGAAGACGAGTTTGTGCAGGACCCCACGCCGACCACCGCAGCAGCCCTCCAGTCGGACAGAAGCGCCGGATCTCCGGCCAAAATGTGCAGCGAGTGCTACGTGAATCAGTCATTTGTGAACGACGATGGGACCGTGAGCGCCCATAAGCAACGGTAAGGGGGACACAGACAGAAGTTCAGGCTTCCTGTGACTTTTTTTTTTCTTTTTTTTTTTTTTTTCAATTAATAAAAGTTACACTCAGATTAAAAAGCTGTGTGGGTTTTAGAAGAAATTTTTTATTGAAAAATATGAAAAGTGACTGTGATATGTGCGCTGTTTGTTTGTTCATCCATCCACACACATGCACTCACCTGTCCCCGCTGTTATTTGTTCAGCTGCTCAATGCCTCAACCTTCAGCTATGCTACACTTTACACTACTGCTCCAAAAATTGCACTTTTAAAACTGAAGAGCGTCATCATGATGTCTCTGTTTATAACATTTGTTATATTTCAGCAATAAATTCTGAGAAAACATAAAAGAAATATTTGTGTAACATTGTTATTGTTAATATGCTTGGAGATCTTTTAAATTATTTTTTTCCCCAGATTCTTTTTTTTTTTTAATTCTATATTTCTGTATTCTAAACTAGTTAGCTACCAGTGGTTATTTTCTGAGATTAATAAAGTATTCTTATTCTGATTCGTACACACATACAAATACAAAGTGAATCCTCGCTTTGATGCCTAAATCGACTATGAAGTCCAGTGTGCTTCAAGAGACAAGAGTGTTTCCTGTTGATTTGTTTAGCACAGTGTATTTTACAAAACCGAAGTGAAAACACATACCACTCATCAATTATGAAACACCTCTGACAAACAGCAATCGATGGAGACACGATGTGAGTTTCAAGGTGTTTTTTTTTCTCTCTCTCTCTGTTTCTCTCTATCCGGTCTGTTTTGTGAATGATGCAGTCTGCGTTTCTAGGAGACTGAAAGCAGCACCAATCATCACATCGACCATCATCACTTCTCTCATTATGCCAATTAAAAAAAAGATGCTTTTTTTTTTTTCTTTTGAAAAGTAACCCATTCTTATCTGTAAGAGACTCCCATTCGCGCGTGAAAAGGCAAATAAATTAATCATAGGCGTAAATCCGGGGGTTGGGTGGGGGGGGGAGGGGGCTAGGGGGTCCGAACCCCCCCAATCTTGGAAAATTTTGATAAAGGAGACAACTGGTGTTTGATCTTGAAAACAAATTGTTGGGAGTTTATAACTTTTAAGAGGGTCCGAGACAGCTCCTGGTTGGATGAGCAAAGATATGCCTTATTTGAATAAATTAAAGAGAAGAATACGCCTTTACTATAAAAGTTTGTGCACGTGAGGAACAAACTAGATTTTGCTCTTTGCAATTTCTCCAAAGACATCTTTGCCTTTCTTTCTCTCTTCTTCTTTTCTATTTGTCTCAGGTAACTGAATGTCTGTTTTAATGAGTTTGAAGTGTCTGTGTTGTTGATGTGACGTTATGCTTTTAAATGCTAGAATAAACTCTGAAAATGTATGACGTGGAGCGTTGACTGTCATCTCTGTGTGGCTTTTGTTTCCACGCATGGAATCATTGGATCCGGGAGCACAAGAGAATATAACGAGCCAGAACTTAATGATTTTATTCTCTTAACAGTAGCCAATATTTCAATTATATTTAGCTTGCTAACTCTTCCTTTGATAAGAAGAGTTTGAAACGGGGGCGGCTGAGCATTACCACTAGCCGACAGCTCTGTATAGGAGCCGAGAACAGAGGGGCTATTGTAGACAGTAAAACAAAATAAAGTATGTCTTTATTTCTTACCATCTTCAACGTAGAGCCTTTAAAACCACAAATAAAACCTGAATAGTTTTTCTAGAAAACTCTGGTGCTAACCTTTAAATTTAAGTTATGATACTTCCCAAATATTCAATTCCTACATATTTATAGGTTTTAACATGAAAAAAATATATATATAAAAGTTAAAAGCAACTTAAGTTATAATTTAAATAACACATGACTTGTATTGAGAACCACAGCAATAAATCAATATTTATGAGGAATTTTATTCAGTGGAGTTACTTATTAAAACTTGTTTTTAGTCAGAGCCTTAAGTTTTTATAAAGGTGTATCAGAGATTAGATCTGTGACTCTGAACCAAACTCATATCTAAGCAACATTTGAATCTTAGTTTGACTTTTATTCATGGGTCTCAACAGGTTGTTTGCTGAGAAAAAGACTTTTGTTATTCATTGCTACTTACTAGTCATTTTTGATGGTGCAGCTTGAACAAAAGAATTTCAAAGCACATTTTACTGTAACTTTGCTGACCCCCCCCCAAAATTGCTCTTAAAAAATGTCCCTGTTTATGCTCCCCCCCCAATAATGAGACGGGATCTACGCCCTTGAAATCAATACATCCACTTTAATCTGCTCCTTGAATTAATAGACATCCTTTTTTATTTCAAAATCTTTTCCAGCAGAACAACGCCTCCAACCACAATGGGAGGGTTTAGATCAAAACACATGTATTTCAATGGCCCAGTCAAAGTTCAGTCTTAAATCCTGTTAAGAATCAATCAACTAAAATGCTGTACACTAACTGTGTCTAACAGCTTATTGATACAGATGTTGTACTTGTCTGAAATATTGTTTTAATACCTGTTCAAATGAAGCAGAAAACCTTTGCTTGGGCCTCCCAGAACACATTCATACATTTCTTATGTTAAATGGTCCGTGTTAAGCTGCAGTCTTTTATTGCCTCTGCCCCATATTTGTCAAGTCGTTTGTATGCATAATGGCTTGAAGAGACATTTGTTAGTTGCTTGTTTTCTGATCTGTTAACCATACTTGTGTGCGTTCCTGTAAAACCTGACCATTTTCCACTTTTCCACTCCCTTTCTGCGCTTTCTCTTCTTGTTCCCGTGCTTCTTTCCATCATTCCCTCTCCATCCGTCCCAGCTCCCTCCATTTGTACAAGGCCCTTTTTTCCTCCCTGCCCTTTATTTCCCTTCTGCCTCTTTACTTGTCTCCTCTCGCTCCTGTAGCTCTTCCCCTGCTCCACTTCCGACTAACACCAGCTGCAGCAGTGGAGTTATCCTAGACATCTCCTCGCTGAAGATGGAGCAGATGGAGAGCGAAGTGCCTCCGTTGCCGCCCCGCTTCCGCTTTAGAGACTTGCTGCTGGGAGACCAGAACTTCCAGAACGATGACAGGTAGGCGGAGACAGAGACTCCAGAGCCAGGCCACACCTGCCGCAGTCTGACCAAATATTACTAATGCAACTGTCGCAGCTGCCGATTTTATCTGGAGGGGTTTTGGAAAACTCTGTTTTTGAAGCAAATTGCAAGAAAATCTCACAGTTTTGTGCATAAATTGAAAATAATCTTTTTGTTACATGAATTAAACTTAACCTCCTGATTGAATAGTTTACCAGAGTTTACAATGCAGCAGTAGCAGTTCTTATTAGGTATTTTAAAGCAGGGTTTGAAACCAATACTTTTGAATTCACTTACAGCATCAAGTAAGGTTGTTGACCTTATTTATTTTATTTAACCACTAACTGGCCTTCACACTCACTGGATCCTGCTTGTGATCCAGCTTGGATCACAAGCAGGATCACAAGCTGGATCACAGCACTTTATGAAATGTCAGCACTTAATTTCATAAAGTGCTGAAATTGAGGACTTTATGTACAGTTTTCTACAATAATTGTGTTTATTTTAGTTGGAGCACTTTTCAGTCATCTAGTAATCAAAAGTGTATTTTGAAATGTACTGCATTCACGTGTCAGTGCCTTAAATTTTGGGTGGTGACGTTGTCCATGGTGCTGACATTTAAGGCTGCACATTAACTTCTTTACTTTAGTCGTTCTCTTTCAACCAGTCTGTTTCTTGCAGTCTTAAACAGTTGTAAGTGTGTTTCATTCAATCCACATTGGAGGTAATTTGGATCTATAGGTTTGGGTGATGCTTCATGTCCTGACCATGGTGCTGAAATTGAAGAATGTTCCTAAACTTCTGTATTTGACTAAAGTTTTTTTTTTTCCTTCTTGTATTTAAAGCTGGAAGCGATGACATTTCATATTGCAAATACGTTATATTTAGTTGTCTTTTTATCATCTTTTGGACCATATGTCTGCCTTGTTGTTTCTGATCAGGCAATCTGTAATCCTTTCATAAATGATAGAATCAAAACTTTTGTGTATTTTAATTCAGTTATTTTACAGAAAAAATAATTGGCATTGTAATAATCTGTGACAGATCGCCTTTTCCAACTAAAATGGATGAATAATGCATGTCAAAACGTATGGCACCACTTTGTTACTTGAACTTCTAAAAACAACAAGGATTATGACACCTTATTGACAGACAGGATATCTGGGCCCCAACAAGAGAGTTGTTGTTATAGTAAAGGTTACAAAATATCATTCAAGAATGTGTTTTTTTTTTTTTTTTAAGTTAACTGTGACTAACCTGTAGACATTATGGAAGAAAATAATGTTGGAGGACCAATGATAGCATTGGGTTTGAAATGTAAAACAAGTTTGGTTTAAAATAAAAAATACAAAAGAAAGGATATTAAAAAAACAATCAGCAGAAACAGGAGTCAATGTTTGGTGATGACGAAGTAATTGTTGGGGATGAAAATGGGTTTCAGCTCAACAAAAAGTCTTTATTTTTCCCAGATATTTACGACAGAGACAATGACAAAAAGCTCCATCATCAGTCACCTGGTTATGAAGCTGGTTAACATGAATCACTGGCTAAATGAATGGATGATTGGTTGAATCAGTACAGCTGATGAGCTGTCAGTCCCACTGACGAGTTGTATTTTACTTTCCTTTTATTGGTTCACTGGTAGCTGCCTCCCAATGGCCGATCTGCCTGAGATGCTAAATGTTTTAGATGGTCTTCCACAAATAATCCAAACTATAAAAACAGAAAAAGAGATGAATACAACACTACTCGCAGTTCTGGCTTTATTGTGTATTTTACATCTGGAAAAAGGTGGAAATTGCAGCAGTGAAAATGATATACCTGCTTGAGGTGTCTTTAGAAAGCTTGAATATCCATCTGCTAAGTGAAATAGTTCTCTACCATTGTTATGCTTTTTCTTGATAAAAAAAAAAACAAAACACTGACTGAGCAACATCTAAGATCATGGATTTCTTTCTTTTCATCAGGTTTTATACTTCTGCTCCTGCTACATTATTTCCCTTTTTCTCTGACAGTCAAAATATTGTTGAGAATAGTTTTTTCCAGCGAAGCCAAAGTCCAGTATCTTGAAAATGATTTTTTTTTTTTTTTTTTTTTCTTTTTCCATTTTGTGACATATTTCTTAGGAGTGTAGCAACAACTAAATGCAATTTTGCATGTGGTGACAGAAAAAAAAACCAAAAAAAAACCTTCAGAGTAGAATGTCAAGTGAAAACCACCTCTGGCTGAGCATTTATTCCAAAGTGACCTTTAACCTGTCTGTCCTTGCAGGAATAATTGTTTTCTCTTTGATAAAGAAGACCAAATTGCGAGGTCTCATTATCGTTTTTCAGCTCTGGCCCTTTACGAGGAACCTGTCTCTTGTTCCCAGTCGATAATGTTGCAGGAGCCGAATGACGCTTCAGGTTATATTAGAACGGTCATCAGTAAACAAATGTCACTGGTCACATCTGAACAGAGATCGTCCATCGTTTGAATGTTCCTTTCTTAAAGGTGAAGGCATGCTAAAGAAAAACACGTCAACCCATACAAAGAGAAACATTAAGACGCCATTATTAATTGCAGCGCTGCAGTTTTTTCTCCTCCCCATTTTAAGTGCTTTCATTATCCTGTTACCAAGGGGAAGCCTCTCGGATCTAAATATAACGACGGAAAATGTCACATATTTTTGCCGGCACAAGTCACAGGACGGCGCGAAGTGCCCACATGTAACTTGAAAAGCCACGTTAAATGGATGTACCTGTGTGGGCGAGAGGAGGTTCAAGTGGAGTGGCCTCATCCAGTGTTTTCAAAAGCACTGACTCATGCAGGAGGTCATCTATAAATTAGCGCTTCAGACTTCCCCCCGTACCCCTCTCTTATGCGGTGGAGACGGAAAGAAAAATACAGGGAGAAATTAGACGGAAGCAGTCTTGTTCGTTGATTCTTTGATCTTTTTCAGGCGCTGCAGGTGTCATTTCTCGCCAAACCATTCACATCATTAGAGCCTGAAGAGCCCCAAATCAACAGCGCAGCCAAATACTTCGCTTCCTTTCTGTTATTGGAAGAACAAATACCCAAAAAGGAAGGAAATGAGGAAATATAGATTTACAACAACATAAATAATAATAAAATGATATTGACCTTAATTTTATTATTAAAATTAGCAAGACAAATACATTAAAAAACACATAAAGTGAAATTACAAAAAACGTGTGTTTCTGAATTTTACTGGCCGAGTTGGAATAATCAACATGCCGTTACAGTTTGCACACAATCTCTCTTTATCCTTCAACGTTTCACTGCTAAGGTTTACAGTTTCTCCAGGTGCTGCAGTGTCGTTGGAGAGGTCCACGCTGCAGCACCATCACATACGGTTATTCCTATCATGGTAGCGTTGCTGTGGCAACAGGTTCGCACACAAGCTGGGCGGGAAAAAGACTGTATACAACTCTAAAAATATTCCCATTACACAAAACAAAAAATGATCAAACACTGCGCAGACGAAATTCTCTCCATGTAGCTCTAATTAGTGCGTGCGTGTGTGTGTGTGCGTGTGTGTGTTATTTTTTTCCTCAAAAAGCTCAACAGTGATCATTTTCCAGCAGAGACGAGCTATGTTACTACAGATCTGCATGGGAGTGCATTAGTCAACCAGCCTTAGTGCAGGAGTTTAGACTTTCTGCACGACGCAGCAGCAGGTGTCCCCTACGCGATGGACTCAGAGACCATTGTCCACACCTGGATCAGTCCTTCTGTGGGAATTTGGAGGTCGGACGTTTTTGGTAGTGACGCTGGCCAGAGGTAGGATGTTTGATGTCATTAAAAAAATAGTGGAGGAGAGCTCTGCGGACTGACACCGTGGGGTGTCCATATTGTTTTTCACTGCTCAGGTGAGACAGATTACACAGCTGCTTATGGGTTTGGTTGTTAAGGAATGATGAAAACAACAACAAAAATTTGATTAACAAGTTTGTGCTTTCCAGATGCTTATGTGTTGTTATGAATCATAACCTTAAGTGAATCTGTTTATCTTGCTCGTTAACATGCCCAGTGCAATTAGTGCTGCGGCTCAGTACTGGTGTAATTGTTGCTACAGGGTAATTATATCAACTTTATATCCCTTAAGCTGAAATAAACCGTGCCAGCCACATTTAAAATCCAGCTTTTATTAGAACATTTTATTGAGAGGAGGGAAACTTCATGTTGAGAAACCATTTTTTCCCCACTAATGGCATTACTATTGATGCCCATGCTGTCAATATTCTGCACCACATTTAAAATGTTACTCTTCCTGTAACATTTACAAGGTTGGAGCAAACCGCAAGATGGATCACTGACCTTTTCCAGAGTCACTTCAAAATACTTCACAAGTTTAGTAAAGGATTCAGGTCTTGGTTCTATCTTAAAAAATGGCAGCTTTTTAATTAATCCATATTTATTGTTCTGGTCATATGTTCCCATTATTATTCACTTATTTATTCATTTTCAGTTTCCTGGATGACCCCAGAATACTTTTATTCAAGCTCTCCTTGTATTTCTTTTGATATCCAGTCAATTAAAAAAAAAAATAATAATAATAATAATCATTTAATATTATTCATTTGCTGTATTGATAAACATGAAGTACATCTTGGTTTATTAATGCATATCTCTCTGTAAGCTTGTATGTTTTAGTGCTTTAGTGCTTTTCCCCTGAAACAACAAAATGACTCCACAGCGTGATTCAGCTTCGTAATTGGGATGGGAGCTAATAAAGGGGCATTCCGTACATGTGCACATGTGTGGGCAGTGGAATGAGACAGACAGAGATCAGTCTGTAGGACTCGCAGCAGCTCTCTGTCTCTCTGGGTTTCTGCTCATCCCAGTCGAGATGGTTTTGCTCTTTTCACACGTTTCCATGTTTCCTTCACTCTTTGTTGGACTTTTTCTGCACTCTTAAGTAGAGTTTAACCTTCAAGTCAACACCGCAACACTATTCTCCCTGTCCATGACAGTCATTTTAAGCTCAGACTTTAGATTAGTAGCAGAATCTGCATAGACACACACACACACACACGCACACACGCACACACACACACACACACACGCACACACTTCTAAATCACTTCTAATCTCTTAGGTTTGCACTTTGCCTTTTCCCCTCACGCAAATTCTCTCCTAAGAGAAAAGTTTTGAAAATTATTTATTAATTCTGCTAGAATTCATTTTTTGTTTCAGAGCTGCATGGCTGTGTGGCTCTTCTTATCTCTTTTTGCTCTCTTTGCTTGTGTGTTCTCTGACAAAATTCTGATTAAAAATCACAAACTTCATTGTAATTTATGAGAATTTTGTGTGACAGGGCGACGCAAAGTGGCACATAATTGTGAAAAGGAAGGCATAATAACGCAGAAGCATACGTTAATTTAGTATTTATGTGTATGGCATAAAATTACATTTTTAGGGATTTGATATATCACTTTTTAGGAAATTTAGCATTAGATTTAGACCCGCAGTCTGCAGTCATACATACAATGGAATTGTCTTTATTAAATCATATTCATCTTTTATACTAGTCTAGTCAAAGTTCAGACCTACATCCAATTCAAATTTTGTGGCAGGACTTTAACATTTATTTTCAGTTACCGTCTCCATATTGCAAAGAAAAATCTGGGGGAAAAAAATGCACAAAAAATTGCAGGTGCAATTGCAGCCACTGGATGTGGGAAGAGGAATCCATCATGTACAATTTTCAATTTGCTACAATTTGCAGACATTTATTCGCAAAACAGCTTAAAAACTACACAAGCTGTTAAGATCAAAATAAACTTTATCATTCACAGGGGAAATTATGTTTTACAGCCAGAAAATAATAAAGAATATTATAAGAATGTATATAAATATATAAGTGAAATATTATTACAAATAGTGTTTGTAATAATAACGCACATTTAAACTAATAACATCTCCACTTGGGCTTATCAGGTTGTGTTTTTAGTGAAGTTAACACTAACAGGGTCAAATTAAAAACTTTATTGTATTGCACTTCATCACCACTGTGAGCCAATAGCAGCAACCCGTAATTTTCCTTCTTGTCCATATATGCACTATTTACATTTGCCTTTCACATAAAATCCCAATACTAAACAAGTAAAAAGCACTGTATCTGTCAACTATATATGGTAAGTATAAAAATAAATACTGGTGTAAAGAAATTGCAATTTTATTACATCTGTAGATATTGATTTTGTTTTGAATGACGATCTAAGCAAAACAGGTTATAGTTTCTGATTTAAGCAAAACAAATAATGTTCTCTTGACTCAAGAAGTCTTGACAAGTTAAGTGGTTGCATAATAAAATAATTAGTCTTTTTTTTTCTTTTCTTTTTAATTTCCTTCAGGCTAAATCCTTCCACCGAGCTGCAACAGCTGCTCTTTGATGGCTTATTTCAAATTGCATGATCCGCAGTTACCCCGCCTTTTAATTGGGAAGAAAATAAGACACGGAAAATTACCCAACTCTCCTTAGGCAAGATGATTAGAAAAGCAGCAGGATGAATATTCAAGCTGTTTTCCCATCTCTGTTTAGTAAAACCATCCATGTGCCCTGCATCTTTTTTTTAATTTATTTTTCTTTTAGCTGATTCTCATCTGACAGTTGTCACTCTTTGTTTCCTGTCAGGGTGCAGGTGGAGTTTTATGTGAATGAAAACACCTTCAAGGAGCGTCTGAAGCTTTTTTTCATCAAAAACCAAAGATCAAGTAAGTGGGCCGCTCAGCGGGGCGTCTTCTAACGCCCCTGAAATGTTCCTTAGTGCATTAAAATGGACCATTTTGGGCCAAAACTGTTCAACTGCGAGCATTTGCAGAAGCCGCAGCGAGGAGAAGCTGCTCTGATTTGTCTCTCGTCTTCAGGCCTCAGGATTCGTGTGTTCAACTTCTGCCTGAAGCTGCTAACATGTCTGCTGTACATCATCAGAGTGATGACGGACAGACCCGGTCAGGGCACAGGCGGCAGCCACAGCTCAGTGCAGCAAAACGCTCCAAATGGCAACAACAAATGGTTAGTTCACACCAAGAGACGGATTAAACATAACAATGACACACACATTTCTCTCTGTTTGCACACTTTATGAAATTCATAGCAAGTAAAAAGAGAATAATGTGACTTAAATGATAATGAAATGCAAAGACGTGACTGAACTCAGTGGGTTGGGGGTCAATATAATGAAGGAAAGGTCATATTATTGTTAAATAATGATTAAATGCATTTCAACAACAGTAGTTTGCCTTCATGTCATGGGGAAGCCTGTAAACGGGCATCGTTTTGGTGATACTGGAACTTAAGTTACCTCACTTCGTTTGCTAAATCGATTGATGTTTTGAATAATAGTTTGTTTGTTTTTTTACCTGGAGGAAGCACATGTGGATGCAAGAAGCTATTAAAGCAATTCTGAAAGTCGCTTAAATCCTGTATGCAACAACTTTACAAAATGTCATTTTAACTAAATAATGCTGAGGAATTTTTACTTTAGGTGACATTTATGAAACTGGTGCATTTGTCTTACTAAAGTACCAAACTATGGTATATCTACATACACTTTTCAGCTTCTGTTTCCATTTTGTTTTAATTTCTCTTCATTGTTGCATTGCAGCGTCGACTGCCAGTGGAACGGATCAGTGCAGGACAGAGAAATTAACTGGTGAGATTGCATCTGCTGTCTGATTTTTAGATGTTACTTTATTGGTTAATTTGGTACAATGTATTTTAATTTCTGATAAAGTGTCAGCTATGCTTTTTTTGGCAGCCGTGCCAAAGGTCTGCAAGAACTATAAGTGCACTTATTTTGAAGTACAAAACAAAATCCCACATTAAGAAAACTATAGTTTGTAACATAGGAAGTAGTATTTCACCCATTTTACTTTATATAATATAACACTGTTTTTCATAGCCACTCTTTAAAACTGGAAAGAATAAGGAACATTCACGTAAAGAGCATGTGTGCTAATATTCATACATCTAGAAATAACCAGAGAGAAATGGCTAATGACCTAAACTTGCCCCCATCAGAAAAATCCTAGTTTAGCACAACTAGAACTGTGGCAAACGAAATCAGATGAGAACCCAAATTATTTTGCCACCATGCACACATAGCAGCAGGGTATGGGAAGTAAAAAAAAACAAAAAACTTCAAAGTTTTCTGCTAATTGCAGCAATAAGTGGCATCTTGGGGGTCAGCGAGTCTCCATAACAACCATTCGAGTATATCTACATGGCAGTCAAGTTTGGGAGGCATTGCAAAAAAAAGAAAAAAGTCTCTGTTCTGCTGACAGGTTTTGATAAATACTACATTTACTGAAACCGCTTGCTTTGATCCGATGTGTCACAGATTGAGCCTTTCAGCAATAGACTCTCCAGGTGGGTTCTTGTGTAATCGATATGTTGAAAAGCATCACTATTGGTAGGTTCGGTGGAGGATCTGTCATGCTTTAGGGTTGCGAAGTCCTTGGGAATCTTCTTAGATGCTGAAATGTGAGGACATTCTAAACTTTGAAGTTGTTTTTGCACGTCGTGGCAAAGGGGTGTCAAAGAGTGTTGGGGATGTTAAATAAAAGTTTCATCTTTTATTCAACTCGGATCCTGCTATTTTGAGTTCTGAATGTAAACATGGAGGATGTTGCATGCTCTCTCTTTGTTAGGGACTTGATCTTCTGGGTGGAGAGGAAAGCTCCGGTCTGGGCCATTCAAGTGAGTCACAACAAAATCAAGAGCAAAGAGCGTTCCACCTGATCAGTGCTTGTGTCTAACGTGTCGCTGTTGTTATGAATTTACCAGCTATGTTTATTCTTTGCTTTGTTTAGGTGATCGTGGCCATAATCAGTTTCCTGGAGACCATGTTGCTTATGTATCTGAGCTACAAGGTGAGTTGGAGACGCAACGGAATAAAATCACACTCGGCGGTCCTGCATGATTAAGGCATTCTGTACAATTAATCGCTTTCACAGCATAAGACTGACAATCCGTAAGTGGTGCAATTAGCCCCAGTCATTTGTCACAGCAACAGTAAGGATCTGCGCTAATTACAGGATCTGGTTGAGGTGAGGAAGTAAGTGGTTGATGAGGATGACAGACTGTGATGGGGAAGAAAAAAAAAAAAAAAAAAAAAAAAAAAACTGAATCTGTGCTGTGACTCACTCCTTTGTGTGGTTGCAGATGAAAAACTGAAAATGTGCGTGCATGTTTTACTTATTTATTATTTATTTTTCTTTTATCTAGGGGAACATTTGGGAGCAGATATTTCAGGTTTCCTTTCTTCTGGAGATGATCAACACAGTTCCTTTCATTATTACAGTAAGAATTTTAGCTGTTCCTAAAATACTCATTATCTGTCCTGTCAGAGGGTATCGCTGTTGTTGGTTGTCTGCTTTAATGAGTCATAGTCTGCATAGATATTCATCACTATGAATGAACAAGGCAAAATGTGTGGGATTAGTGAGGCTCGCTGCATCTTGCCTACAGACGACCACGCCTTGATATTCAACATTAAAAACTATTTGCTTGTCCTAAATTGATTTTAACATCGTTTATAGAAATAGGTCATAATTAAGTTTATTCTGAATGAGCAAAGTTTAGCTGTAATATTTTAATTTTGCCAACATTTTTCTATGACTAGAAGAAATATTAATGTCTCGACTTGAATCTGATGAAGAATCTAAAGAAGCAATTAAAGATTAGGGTGATGGCAAAGAGTCCTTCCAACTTTAAACATTTTGAGCTCATCACCAATAATACATTATAGAAATATGTAAAAAAAAAAAAAGTTGGTTAGCAATTAGAAGAAAGGTTTGATTGGTGTAAAACAAATAAAGATTTCTCCACTGATTATCAAGATGATACTTTTTCCACATGCATTTTTAAAACAAAATGTATATAAAATAAGTGATTTCATTTTGAAAAATTAATATTGCCTTTTATGTTGCTTTATTATTATTTTTTAGATGCTCACCTCAGTTTTTATTAGACTTCTTTGTTCAATTAGCAGCATAAATGCAGTCAGAAAATTGTGTATTTTAGTCTGAGCAATGTGGAAAAGGAAAAGTGTAAACAAAGGAGAAAAAAATGGGAATTATTCTACATTTCTCTCAAATGTGTTGTTTTTATTGCACAAGACATCTGTGTTGTTAAACTGTTAAACTCTCTTTTTAGATCTTCTGGCCTTCAATAAAGGACCTCTTCATTCCTGTGTTTCTCAACTGCTGGCTGGCTAAGTGTGCGCTAGAGAACATGATTGTGAGTGGAATCCATATTCTTAAATGTGTCGGATGACGACTGTTTAGCTAAGAGGATCGGTGTTTTACTGCAGTGTTTTCTTCGAGCCTCTTCATGCTCACGCTAATTCACAAGTGACAGATTCTTCCTCTTACTCCTCCTGACTTGTGTGTGCAGTGAGAAATGACACACGGGGATTTTTGCCTGTAGCACGGATTACTTGCATAAGATAGTCAGATACGATACCAGTTCTTCATATGATGTTGCTCATTGCGTTGCAGAATGATGTCCACAGAGCGATCCAGAGGACGAACTCGGCCATGTTCAACCAGGTCATCGTTCTCATCTGCACCCTGCTGTGCCTCGTCTTCACCGGGTGAGGCTTGTTAGCGCGCGCTGTTGGAAACATAGACATAGGATGCAGAACGTGAAGTAAGCAACACAAATGAACGATGAATCAAAGAAAGTAACGAGAAAGAGAATAAAACACAACTGGGTAAAAAGACGCTGCGCCTCTTTTTAAGTTTTGTGGGTCAGTTGGGGAGAAAGAAAGTTTCCTCAAGCAATATTCTAATGTTACATTATTACCGAACAAATTGAATGTTTACATGGTGCAGCTCTTTCCCTTCAGATTTCACAGGAAATCACCACTAAACCCATAATGCGTTTTCCATTTGCAGGATGATGTGATTAATTTTCAAGCCGCTATTAAAAAGCTGTGTAATGAGTAGAGCAGCTAGAGAGCGACTGTGATTCTCTATACACATTAAATAAATCTGTCGACAACCCTTATATTCACTAACATGCTGGTGTTTACCTGAATAGTCTGAGAAAACTAAGTTCACTTTCGGTAAAGGGCTGCGCTTACAAAGTCTAACTTTATCTAACTACTACTTTATCAAACAGAAAAAACTTTCAAATATGTCCTGGTCATCAGCTCGAGACAATTCATAAAACACACTAAAATACAACACATAACTTTGCATGTAAAGGTCAAAGGTCACTTAAATACACTCTGTAGGAGACACTCAATTATTTCTTTTTGCCAGTATTAAATGAGTTTGCTGTTTAGGCGTATTAGGATTAGCAAAAAATTATTTAGATAAAGTTTCTTTTTTTAAAATTGCCTATATTTAATAAAATATTATGGAAAACATTCTGCAAAATTACAAAAATCATTTGTAATTTTTACCCATTGCTCCTAACAGAATACATGAAGCCGAGAAAGGAAAGAAATCGTTCCAGCTCTGAGCTCATAGTGATGACCACAGCAAAAACATCGTCTTTCTAGCCACAGCCACTTTCTAGCAACTTTTGGTTGTATATTCACTCATTGTCGATTTACAATGTCTGGTGATGGTACTTTATTTTCTAACACTCATAATTATTCTCCAATACTGTGAATTGATCAAACATGTAAACAGCCATGACAGCATCATTTGGGCTTTTGAGGTATCATTATCTTAATATGTAAAGTAATTTAAAAAGTAGTGTAAATAATAATAATAATAATAATAATAATAATAATAATAATAATAATAATAATAATTAAATCTTTATCTCATTAGTCTAGCATTCAGCAAAAATAAAAATGCTTTTTGTAAACCAAACTGTCCTAAAACAAGAAATGTGTTGTCTTATTTAGTGCCATAAAGAGAGAATAAAGTATATCTAAACATGTGGTTTTCAACTGGAGCTTCTGCATCTCTGAAACTTTGCTCACTTAAATGAAGTGCTGTTCTTGCATTAGAGAAAAATGTCATATTTATATCCATTATAGCCATCGCTAATGGCCTCAGATTCTATTAGCCCGACGCTGTTTGCAACATAAAGTACTGTATGAGAAAAAATAAATGCTTTCTAGTGAAACTTGTGGTTATTTTAGTGCAGTAGAAGAAAGGATAAAGTGACTCATTGTTCTAACCCTTATAATTGTGAAGCTTTTCCCTTTCACAAGCAGAAGTTAGTCGACCTGGCTTAAAAAATAATTCTGGAATGAAGACTTGTTTTCGAGATTAGACACACATACGAATCGCTCTTCTCTTTGGTTGTAATGTATTTTCACCTCAGATGTATCTGCGTTTTCATTGAATCAGAGTGAAAATACTTCATGTTCTTTTAAAATCAGCTGCACTGAAAACATTCACTTGATTTGTTGATTTGAAATAACACTAAATGTGATTCCAGACAGAGCAGACCATTGACAGAGCAGCACCTGGAGCTCTCTGTGAAGAGAGTCTTTTTTTCCTCTTTTTTTCCTCTATGATCATTTCTGAATCTCCATGTTAACTTTTGTCTTACTAAGTAGTTTTGGTCTCGTTTCGAGGGCAAGTATCTACATTCGAAATAAGTCTAGACTAACTTGCAAGTAACTTTTCAGCAAAATATGGGAGCTTGCTTTAAGTAAATTTCTTAGTATTGATAAAGAAGCTATTAGTCTCACTAGCCGATTACTTTACTTAAAACAGCATATTTTTCCCATGTTATAAGTGAAATAATCTGTGATATTACTCATACTTTTTCATAAATTTTAAGAAGCTATTCACGTAAAACATGCTCTTACATCTTGCTGTAAAGTTACTTATAGACACTTGCTCTTGAAACTGAACCAAAAATACTTGGGGAGATTTTATCTTTCTGGAGTCGTAATATAACCTTCCTTGTGAATCTGTGGCAGAAATAAAGCGAGTTGTGACTTCAAAGTTGTATCTACTATACAACTTTGTAAATCCTTCCCCGAGTATTTGAGTTAACTTGCTCACCTGCTGTCACCTGTTTGTCACAGCACATGTGGGATCCAGCACCTGGAGCGAGCGGGCCAGAACCTCTCCCTCTTCAATTCCTTCTACTTCTGCATCGTCACCTTCTCCACCGTCGGCTTTGGAGACGTGACTCCACGCATCTGGCCTTCTCAGCTGCTGGTCGTCATCATGATTTGCGTGGCTCTTGTGGTGCTTCCTCTCCAGGTAAGCAGGTTTTGAACTTTTTATGCTTGATGTGTTTTTTTTTATTGAAATCTACATTTTGTTTTGCCAGTTTGAGGAGCTGATCTACCTGTGGATGGAGAGACAGAAGTCTGGAGGGAACTACAGCCGCCACAGAGCTCAGACAGAGAAGCATGTAGTTTTATGCGTCAGCACGCTCAAAATAGACCTGCTCATGGACTTTCTCAACGAATTCTACGCACACCCCAGACTGCAGGTGCCGACTAGCATCCATTAACGTACCCAATGCGCTGCCATGCAGGCAATCTCACGATTCTTTGAAAATCTTTAAGGACTACTATGTGGTGATCCTGTGCCCGAGTGAAATGGACCTGCAGGTGCGAAGAGTGCTGCAGATTCCCCTGTGGTCTCAGAGGGTCATCTACCTGCAAGGGTCGGTCCTCAAAGACCAGGATCTGCTCCGTGCAAAGTAAGTGGCGCCTTCTGAAAAGTGTGGACGGATTCTAACAGCTGCAACGTAATAACGCTTTGTCATGAAAACACAGAACAGATACAGGTGGAATCTGGAGGTCATGTTTCACAAAGGATATGTAATGTAGGCGGGCAAACATTTTGGTTGGCCAGTAAATTCCAACCAATTTTTGTACCATGTATATGTTGCTGATTTTTCAAATTTGGGTAACCTTCCAGTTATATCTATAAATTTTCTGAATTTTGGATTCCCTTCCCTTTCTGATGAAATGTGAGATAAAAATGATCTGAATGGAGGACCCGAGTGCAGGCAAAAGGGATTTGGAGTTCAATAAAACAGCGTTCATGGCCCTTAATAGTTTTGCAAGCCATGAAAATGAAAAACAGCCATGATTTTTTTTAAATATTGAAAGATTAGACCAACAACTGTTAAAAGCTGAGTTTTGTCAGCGACTCTGATATCAAATGTTCTGAAAAAAAAAATATGAAGTGGCACCACGATCCAATCCAAGGATCCAAGATCAGGACATCTCTGCTCTGGGCTGGAACGTTGTCTGCTGGATTATCGAAAGTTGGAATGTATAAATATTTTTCTTATTTTATTTTTGTTCAAGTTCCTGCCTGTTTTGGCTTCTCCACACTTCGCCTCAGATGTAGCGTCTGATGTGTCTTAGTTTCTCACGTACCATGTCAAACAGAGGCAAAGGGAAGGAAAAAGAGGTCAAAGTTCATCTATTACTAAGGATGATGGTCTGCTGCAGTGGTTTAGTTCAAACAAATTGAAAAGCTTGTTTTATCGCAAAGGTTTTGAGATGAATTGCGTTTCAAATATCCAAAAAGCACATAAAAATCATTGTTTCATTACATGAGAAATAATTTTAGATATCGCTTAGCTCATTCTATCTTTCCATTTTTCAGATAAAAGCTTGCCAGAGCTATTGTGTGGCTTAATTCAATGACAACTCTGTAATTGTTCTTTAAAGCTTTATGACTTGACTAGTAAAATGACTCCTTCTCAAAAAGGTTAACGTTATCTTTGTCATATTTTTATCCTGCAGGTTTAATAAATGACACTTGGAGAAAAGAATGAAAAAAGAGGAATAAAAGCTCGTCTAGCCAAATTTCTTTCTGCAGCATCAGACTTCATCTGTAGCTAAGTGGAATCCAGTTCAAGTAAACACAAGATTGTAAACCGCCTTCGGATTTTCTTTGCAGAGCTCCAGCCGGCCATAAATGACCTGATTTTGCAGATCATTACACTCGGTTTAGGTCTTTTCTGGTGGCTACAGACTTATGTGGCTTAATGTGGCTCTGTAACATTAAGCCACACAATCTTGACCATTTCTTTGTCAAGATTAATCATAGCAGAGTTATTTACAGCACTGCACCAGGTATGGCATTCAAAACGACTGCTGTGACGGGACCGTGTTACATAACTCCACTGTATACATTTGTCAGGGTTTTACCAGAGCAATTAGAAGCAAAGGACTTGGGTGTGTGTCATGCTCACATCCTTCAACTGGCTGTGTTTCAAATCCTCCCACACTTGTTTTGCATTCTGCACTCCTCTGGCTGTGCTAATCGTATGCAGAAACAGTTCTCCAGCCGAACTGAACATTCAATATATGGCACATGTCAGCTCGTTTGTGCGTCTGCTTATATACACAGCCGATGCAAAATGGAATATCGAATCAGTAAAATTTCATGTGAATATTGTGCGGCAAAAGTTTTATTATTCTTTTGCCGACTGACTTGTTTCTATAAAGACCTTTTCGTGTCTTTTATCAAAATGCTGCAGAATGGACGACGCAGAGGCTTGTTTCATTCTGAGCAGTCGCAACGAGGTTGATCGCATGGCCGCGGTAAGATAAATTGTAGTTATTGTACCCTGCTATAAGTTTTATAAGTTATATTTCATAAAGACAGTCTAGTAAAAGAAATGTGCAATATTTTCTTTTAGGACCACCAGACCATCCTGAGAGCTTGGGCTGTGAAAGACTTTGCTCCAAACTGTCCTCTTTATGTCCAGATACTCAAGCCTGAAAATAAGTTTCATGTTAAATTTGCAGGTGAGACTTTTTTATTTAGTTTTTGTTACTTTCTGACCATCACTTGTGGACAAAAAGCTAAAAATTAGACTCTTAAAAGTACATATTAATGTGCAGTCCCTCATGCCCCTTTTTTCAGCTTGTAAACTGAAACTGGAAGTACAAAAAAAAATTACACTTTAAAATAAAAGTCTCAAAAGACAGGCATGCATTTGAACTCAACCCCATTACTTTGATGACCCCAAATACAATTCTGTACAGCTAAGAACTCAGAGGTCACCTAAATAGTTTTTACAGTCCATGTTTGAATTCAACCCTCCTAATTTAACTTTGCGATGTGGTAATTTTATATTTACCATTAGAAAAACTGACCTTATTCAACAGACTAATCAGTCTGAGAATTACGCGTCTAATAGAGGTTTATTACTTGCCAGGACGCAAAGAGAATTACGACAAATCAGGAAATGGTATGACTCAAAGAGCTGCAGTTTCATTTGCATTAAATGTCATTGTTGAAGGTGGCCACTCCTCATTTCACATAGAAACAGCTGTCAACACATCTGGAAGCAACAAGAGTTCAGGACTTCCTTTGACAATTCAACTCTCAAGAGTGCATAAGCAGAAAAACTTTCAGATCAGTCCTGATATGTAAAGAAGTGTATATTTTTTAAAAGTCAGAAGTAATTGCTCATAATTGATGTGTCAGACTATGTCAGTCATTGTCTCACAAAAGTGAACATTACTCTGATCGTAATTAATGTGTGGAACAGTTAAAAGGACATGAATATGTTTGCATACCACTGTATATTTTTCATTCCGCAGCCATGTTAGTTTATCGTTGTTACACACCTGCAACATGTCGTCCAATTCTAGATCAAGTTGTGTGTGAGGAGGAATTCAAGTACGCCATGTTGGCTCTCAACTGTGTGTGTCCTGCCACTTCTACCTTGGTCACACTCCTAGTTCACACCTCCCGCGGACGGTAGGTCAAATCCGATAAGCCGTTTTATTTCTCCCCTCCGTATGACTGAAACGTTCAACTTCTTGGCATGTTCACATCCGCTGATGTTTGATAAAAGCTCCAAGGAGCCAAGGAAAAGCCAGAGCACAGAAGAAAAATCCTGGGTGCTATGCAACACAGCAGGACATGAAAAAAAATTCAGCACAAGAGAGAACAGCAGCATGCTATATTGCTGTTTCTTTTTCTTTTCTGTTCTTTGTTGGATATTTTTTTGTTTGTTTTTGCTAGGAGTTCTTTGTAAGGCAGTTTGAAAAGCTCTCCAGTGGCAAATGATTTTTCACAGCATGTAGACTTACAGCAGAAGTGTCGCTGGCTGATGCAGTGAGTCTCTACAGACATACGCATGTACAGCAGAAACAAGATACTCACCTCCACAGCAAAAACAGATAACCCTAAGCCATAACCCCTAGCCCCATAGGTAACATTTCCTAGTTAAAATTTTACATTAGTGGATAGTTTTAAGTTTGAAAACACAGTCCTTCCCAGATGTTTCAGTGCACACAAATGTGTGGCTGATGCCAATTTAAAAAAAGAGAGAAAATGACAGTCTGCTCAAATAATTGGCTGGTGGATCAATCCGAGTATTCTTAGTTCGGTATGTAATTCTGCTTTCTACAATAGAACGGATGAAGTCAGGGAAGGAATCTCAGTTTAAAAGCTACCTTAACTTTGACCCACCACTTTAGCCTCATTACGTTATTATAGGTGGTTGAGTTAAAAAAAAAAAAAAAAAAAAAAAAAACAAATCATTAAAGGCAAACGAACTGATCAACCAAACTGCTTTAATAAAGACATGCTTTTTTTTTTTTTGCTGTTGATCTTTTCTTTTTATCACAGGGGTTTAAACCATGTCTTCCCTGTCAGCGTCTTAGATGGAGAAGATGTTTGGCTTATGGACCCAACCGTATTTTCTCTGAATCCATTGCAGGGAAGGACAGCAGTCTCCGGAGCAGTGGCAGAGGATGTACGGATGTTGCTCCGGCAACGAGGTCTACCACATCCGACTGTGCGACAGCAAGTTCTTTGGAGAGTACAATGGCAAAAGCTTCACGTACGCCTCCTTTCATGCTCACAAGAAGTGAGTTGACGTGTAAGCTAAAATGTCCCCCTCAGGAGGCTGGCAAGTTGAGGTTTTTGCAGATTTTGTTTAGGCTAAGTGCTTCTTTATTTTACTCTCATGGAATAGGACAGGGACAACTAATTAAACTGAGAATTAGTGGCTGAAAATGAGGAGTGGTTTTCTCTTTAAATGAATTTTGTCAGAATGATAGGAAATCTAAATCTGCCAGCAGGAAGATCAGGGAATATTGCAGGCATGAAAACTTTTCAGTATCTATGCAGGTGGTTCTCGTCAAGCTTTTATTCACCAGGGTGATGTGAACTAAGACTTTTTAGCAGATGCCCCGAGCATCACTTTCCTTCAGGCTGATTTTGCAACCAGTCTAGGTCGTTATCCTGCTTTCGCTCACTTGTTGCCATATATTTCCAACGCTTTGCAGGTGTTGTTGTAATAAATCCATTCTCTTCTTCACAAACTGTGGATTTGTGGTCTCCAAGGTACGGCGTGTGTCTCATCGGGATAAAAAGGGAGGAGAACAAGAGCATCCTGCTGAACCCTGGTCCACACCACATCATGGCCGCCACAGACACCTGCTATTACATCAACATCACCAAAGAGGAGAACTCCGCCTTCATCTTCAACCAGGAGGAGAGGAAGGGCCGTCCTGCTGGAGGAATCTACGACGGGCCCTCACAGCTTCCTGTGCACAGCATCATTGCAAGCATGGGTGAGAGAGACTTGCATGTTTTAGGGCGTTAAAGTACAAACGGTTGGATAGGTGAAGGGAATCCATGCAGTGAGGTTTGAGGCAGAATGCTTGTGTTTGCAGGAACCGTCGCTATAGATCTTCAGAATACAAGTCCACCCAATATTTCAGGGGGCAAACTGGTCCCGCCCACCGTGAACGGGACAGGCAGTCGCCGGCCCAGTATCGCACCAGTCCAAGAAATCGCCGACTCTGCCGCAATCCTGCCGTGTGACCTCCTGAGCGATCAGTCAGAAGACGACACTGTTTTTACAGATGAGAAGGGAAGCTCGTTCACTGAGTAAGGATTTCATTTTTTCCCAGTGACTCCCAAACTTTACATATAATGAACATCAGATTTACAAAAAAAAATCTTTAATTTGATGTAGAAGCGAAAATAGAAATTGTTAAAGAGCTCTTCAAGTTTAGTTTAGTTTTTTTTTTTTTTTGTAAATATACTTTTTGTATCAAAAAGGTAAACTGGATGAATTTAAGGGTTCAGACCAAAAAATGCTTTGCTAGGACACACTGTGTACTTTAAGTTTTTGTTTCAAGTTGGAATTAGTACTTTTTCTGCTTTACAATATTTTCCTTAGACTGAAATTATTATGAAACATTTAGATTCACATTATGAGACAGCAGTTTATAGCAGAAATGTAGAGAGTTACAAGTTCTGAAAGACACTTTGGTTCATCTGATTTTTACCTGCAGCATGACATTGTTGAATGCAAGCAACTTCCTGTCGTTTGTCTGCGACCACAGGAAATTGTTTTGTTGCCCTTTTGTTACATTTTACTGGCAGCGTAAGTACTTTTCTGGTCAAAAATAGGTAACATACTTATTTGGAAGTGAAGTGATAAAATTTTAAAACCCTCTTACAAATAAAAGTCTGTAAAGTGTGGCAGGATTTTTTATTTTATGTATTTATTTATTTATTTTTTTTCATTTTTCCTATGTCAGTATGTTATTACATCAGTTTTGCCATAGTTACAACCACAAGTCTTTTGAGGTGCGCTTCTGCCACCTTTGTACATCTAGTCTTTGCAACATAGTTCAGTCAGACTGGATGGAAAGTGCTTGAGCTGTAATTTTCAAGTCTTGACACAAATTATCGATTGAATCTAGAATTTATCTGGGTTATTCTCATAGACTAAAAGGTTTTGGTTTAAGACGTTTAAATGCTGCTTTGGCTGTAGGTTTGTTGTTCTGGTAGCAGGTGAAACTCTGCCCTACTCTGTCTCCTGCAGCCTATTACAGCTGTTCTTCTTGTATTGTCCTACCCCAGTGTCGTCTTTCTGACTTAATATTTTTCACACTTTATTTCATTATATGCATTATTAGTAGCATTGGTGGGAAAATATTGGTGTAATATTCTCGTACTTGATTACATAAATCTGTCCAGGAACTGCAGGTGGACATTAGCATTTATTTATTTATTTATTTTTTGCTATAACCTGATACGATCCATCCCTCCTTTTAAAAGGTATAATTATAAAGGAAATTATGTATATTGGGGTTTTTTTTGCAAAGAAATAAAAAGTATAAACAAGGTGGAATATTGACTATGCAAGTCTAATGGATGCTGATTCTTTTGAACAGGAAAAAAAAATCTTACGGCTTTAAACATTCAAATTGCACATATCCAGGGTTATATCTTTAGCATTATGTTATAGCTAATATAAAAATTTAACTAATTTTTATTTTTTATTTTTTTACATATTTTCTCAGTCTTCTGCAGTTTTTGTTTTGTTTTGTTTTGTTTTGTTTTTTTGAAAATGAATTACATTACAGCATATTTTTTATTTGACAAAGTGCATCATTCATTCCTTCTGGATCTGTTTTCAGGTATGTTAAAGGTTATCCTCCCAACTCGCCGTACATTGGGAGCTCGCCCACCTTATGCCATCTGTTGGCTGAAAAAGCACCATTTTGCTGCCTACGACTAGACCAGGTGGGCAGTCGCTTTTCCTTCAACTTAGTCACTCAATTACAGGCTGCCTCAATCATTCCCTCTCGTCTCTCTCTCTCTGTCCTTCACATCATAAAAAGCATGCCTAAAATGCCGCTCTGTGCTCCGCTCCTTTTGCAGGGCTGCATGCACAACAGCTTTGAGGACGCAAAGGCTTACGGCTTCAAGAACAAGCTCATCATTGTGTCGGCTGAGACGGCGGGGAACGGTCTCTATAACTTCATAGTGCCTCTCAGAGCTTATTACAGACCCAGGAAAGAGCTGAACCCCATTGTCTTGCTGCTAGATAACCCGTGAGTTCTTAACACGCGCGTACCGCGGCACATTGTTCCTCCGCTCTTTCGCTTCACTCAGACTTCCTCCGTGTCACGCTGGGAAAGATTATGACCGCTGAAAGGCGCGCGTCAGCAAGCACTTAGGACAAGGCTGTGGAGGTGGGACTCCATTGTTAATTCTGATGTTAGATTACCGGTGTTACTCTGTGTTTTTAGTGACAAAGAAAAATAAAAATCCCCCATACCTCCAGACAGTAACCATGGAAACTTGCTCTGCCTTGAACTTGGGTGTTATATATTGCCACAAGGGGAGAAAATGATTTCTTTTGAGAGCTCTAACTTCCATCAAGAGCCCTGATGTGTCGCCTTTTCAGCCCCCACATGCCGGCTGAAAGAACTCTCATAGAAGCGCACACACATAATAAATGCTCCCCGCGTGCTGTTGGTTTCGGTGCCACCCCCCCACTCCCCCCTCTCCATCAGCGTTGCACACACAAATGCAAACACCCACGCATTTGGAATTCAATCACTTACAACAGCCTTGGGTCTCGTGTCAGCAGGATTGGGAACATGCAAAAAGTAATGCAATGTCAAAGGAGGTGGAGGAAGGCAGACACTAATAAAGTGTCTGAATCTCTCTCTGAGTGCGTTCGGCACCAGATGGACTCGTCCCTCTGCCTGAAGACACTCTGACCAATGATATAACTACTCCACAGAGGCTCCCAAGAGTCTGGTGCATGCTGTTGGAAATGATCGCTTCAGAAATAGACTCATTTCTGAAGCAGCTTTGAAAGGATAGATTCACTTGGTGCATATCATGATAATAATTCGTGATAATAAAAAAAAGTACAAGTTCCCTTGACAGTTTTTCTAACTTACACCAAGATATCTTTCCCTTGTTATCAGTTTAAAAGTCTGCCAATCAAATCAACCCAGTACTTTTTCAAAATCAGTATTGATGAGTTATTAACTCAAAACAAGCTCCTGTATCTTGCTTTAAAGTTAATGGCAAGTTAGTCCACTGGAATTAGAAAAATCTAAGTTAATCGTGCCAAAGGATTTCTGAAAAATGTTGCTCATTACTTCACCGATGTTTTACCTGCATTTTTTAAGTATTAGCCACTGTTGGGTATTCGCCTGTAACTTTAAATTGCATTTATTTAATTCAGTACCTATTTTGGCTGCGGTCCAGTCAGGGAACACATCCAAACCCCTTAAACCACGAATGTCAAACTCATTTTCATTTTGGGCCACGTCAAAATTGTGAATGTCCTCAAAGAGCCGGTTGCGCATGAATGTATTGATAAAGTCCATTAACAAATTGTTAAAATGTTAATAGATAGCTGTCTCTGCATTTGATGAGTGCTTTTAAAATTAAATAATATGTCATTTGGCACTACAAAAATAAAAACTGATTTGATTGGATGGATAGAATGTCATTTAAGCACACAACTCTTTTTTTCAAAAGTTCTTTTGAAAATGCAATCGTACACAAAGTCCTAACCAAAGAGCTTTGCAGTCCATGCACAAAATAGACAGCACATCACCAACAACAAGCTGAGTTATGCATTTTACTGGTAAGATTTTCTTTCTAAAAGCTGAAAACAAAACAAATGACTGCTGGAGACACACACTGCACAGATCAACAGCAGGGACAAACAGAGGAAACAAAGGACAAATCCTTTTGTGAGAAATTGCTTTATTCTCTGAGGCTTTTTCTGACTTATTAACATACTAAACGTTCCACTGATTGTATACCAAACTCAAAGTTTTGTCTTTTGTTTGAAAAATGTCAAGAGCAAACAAAACGGTGTTGAATTTCATTAGGATTTTTCTTCCTCGCAGTCCTGATAATCACTTCCTGGAGGCCATTTGTTGTTTCCCAATGGTGTACTACATGGGTGGGTCGATAGACAAGTAAGGCCATCGCATAATCTTTGTTTTTTAATTAAAAATGTTTTACATTATTTAAAGAACATACCTACTTTTATTTTTTTCGTATGTTCGGTTGTTTCGTTGTCTGATCTTTTTGTGTGTGTTGCAGTCTGGACAGTCTGCTCCAGTGTGGTATCATCTATGCTGATAACTTAGTTGTGGTCGATAAAGAGAGTACGATGAGCGCAGAGGAAGACTACATGGCAGATGCCAAAACTATTGTCAATGTACAAACAATGTTCAGGTAAATTAAACGTTTTAGTTGGCTCTGTTAAATTAATAGCTTTATGACAGTTAATTTCCCTTTGGGATCAATAAAGGATTTTTGAATTTGAATTCCTCTACTTGGAAGATTGATCTTGTCCACTTCATTTTTTTTTTTTGTTTTTGCCCAATTTTCTCCCCTTGCCAAAAAACAACGTAGGTTGTTTCCAAGTCTCAGTATCATCACCGAGCTCACACATCCATCCAACATGAGGTTCATGCAGTTCAGAGCGAAGGACTGCTATTCGCTGGCTCTGTCCAAGCTGGAGAAGGTAAGTCGGAACCCGGGGGACCAGAGTGGGGAACCGCATGGTGAATTATGGGTAAATGACTTTCTGACCATTTCGTGTTGCACAGAAAGAGAGAGACAAAGGCTCCAACTTGGCCTTCATGTTCCGCCTGCCCTTCGCTGCAGGCAGAGTGTTCAGCATCAGCATGTTGGACACCCTCCTCTATCAGGTTGGTAGGCATCCACAGCAAACCCCGCAGCCTCAGGTGACTTTATTCAGCATCAGGCATGTGAGCGTGTCTCACATCAGCAGAGAAACAGTCGCCTCTCTTACACAGCGCTAGCTTCAGAAAGCAGAGCTGCCCTCTTGTGCTCACTCACTAAAGCATCGCTCGTTCTCTTTCTTTCTTCTCTTTGTTGTGAGCTTTTTATTTTGTTAGATGTAATCAAGGTTGTAAAGTGATTTGAAGTGTTTTACATGTGCTACTTTTTCAGTCTTTCGTAAAGGACTACATGATTCTTATTGCTAGACTGCTCTTGGGACTGGACACCACCCCTGGATCAGGATTCCTCTGTGCTGTGAGTCACATACAATGATGAAAGTAGAGCACAAAGTTGGCCATAATTGTGAAGTGGAAGGAAAATAATACGTCTTTTTTTTTTTTTTTTTCAATTTTCTTAGAAATAAAAGTCTGGAAAGGGTGGCTTGTATTTGTAATTAGCAATCATTAGTTCATACTTGTGGAATGACCCTCTGCTGCCATTACACATACAGGAATTGTGTTGTATTTTTTTCTTTCAGTTTTTCATGTCAGGAGAAGTTGCCAGAGTTTCTTTGCAGAATAGTTCAAGCTGAGTCAAATTGGGTGGAACGTGTTTGTGAATCTCAATTTTGAAATATTACTACAGCTTCTGATTTGAACATATGAATTTGATGCTGCTGAAAGGTGAAGCGACGGACCGTTTTCCCTCTGGAAAGTTTTCTTTTACAGTTGCCCTGTGTGGTGCGTTCATCTTTGCTGTGTTCCTTACAGGCTTGTGGCAAACTATAAATGGGACTTTTAGTTTTCTTTCCTCAATGGCTTTCTTTTTCTTGAACCTCTTCCATGAATTCCTTTACATTTGGATAATATTTAATTCATCTGTTCCTTTTTCTTCCACTTCACACACATATGCAACACTTTGTGTAGCATTATTATCTTATAATTTGCACATATACAATTTTAACATACTGAATTTTGTGATTGGGACAAGGTCATTGAACTTCCATTAAAAGTAAAAGGTCAATGAGTTTTAATAATAATAATTTTGAAGAAGTCTTTGTGGAAGAGAAAATGGTTCAATTTACCAAGCCACTTTTCAAATCGATGTCCTTTTCTCTTATTTAGATGAAGATAAAAGAAGAAGATTTATGGATCGGCACCTACGGGAGACTGTTCCAAAAACTTTGCTCCTCCAGTGCTGAAATTCCCATCGGCATCTATCGCACAGAGTCTCACATTTTCACCACTTTAGAGGTGAGTCTGTGAACATTAATGCATTAATGCCAACATATAATCACAGACTGGGATCACAAGGAAAACACAAACACTCCCGTCATGATTAAGTCCCAGGTGTCCATGAGCGTTGACGACTGCGAAGACACAAAAGACAGAGGGGAAGAGCCTCGCAGCAACGAGCAGTCGGATCACCCCCTGCTGAGGAAGAAGAGCATGCAGTGGGCGCGGCGTCTCAGTAAGAAGAGCGTGAGGTGGCAGGGGGGAAGCCGGGACTCGAGTAAAGACCACGCCCAGCGCATAGCCCAGCAGCGTCTCAACCTCTACAGACGCTCCGAGAGGGAAGAGCTGTCCGAGCTGGTCCGGAACCGCATGAGGCATCTGGGCCTCCCCACCTCAGGATACGGTAACTATGGACACTCCCTCTCTCTGAACAATGTTGTTGTAACTTTAATGCGTTACTTGATTTGAATCATGTCTGTTCCCTATCCCTAAAATGAAGATGATCTGACGAATCTGACAGCCAGTGATGTCATGAACAGAGTCAACTTGGGATACTTACAAGGTAGAACATTTATTTTAGGTACAGTTAAGAGCGTTGGCCAGGTTTTAGACCGATTGTGTTCGTTTGTTTCAGATGAACAGAATGAAAACCAGAACACTTTGTCCTACGTCCTCATTAACCCTTCACATGATACCAGGCTGGAGATCAACGACATTGTGTAAGTAAAACGACTTCGTGATCCATGTGACCATTTTCTGTATTTCGTTGACAACATGTAGAACTTTTGATGGCACCACTATGCAGATTAGTTTTCACTATAATGAGTTAAAAAAGTATTCAACCTAATTGAACTTTTTCAGATTTTATCACATTGCAACCACAAAATTCTATGTATACTCTTGGTATTGTATGTGACCAACTAACATAAATTAGCACATCATGTTGTGATGTGCTAATTATACATGGTTTTAATTTTCTTTGCAAGCAGAAATCTGTAAAGTTTGGTATGTGGTTGTATTTGCCATCTTGCATTATTACTTTTTACTGGCCCATATTTAGCTTACCATCTCCCCATGAACTTTTTTTAAAATTTTATTTCTGTAAAAATGTGAAACTCATGTCTTTTTTTTCACTTCTCAATCACGCACCACATTGTGTTGATTTATCACACAAAATAAAATAAATCCACTGATTTGTGGTTGCAACATGGCAGAATGTAAAAAAGGTTCAACTCGTATTATTACTTTTGCAAGGACTGGTATGAATACACAGCAGAGTGGTGAATATACAGTAAAAATATGTTCCTTTGGCTTGTGTCCATCCATCCATCCATCCATCCATTTTCTGTACACCCTTGTCCCTTTGTGGGGTCGGGAGGGTTAGTGTCATGTGTAAAATGTGTAAAAATAAAACCACATGTAGGAACCAAAGAAGCAAGAAACCTGCCAGTAGTAATTATTACAGCAACAAAGAATAAAGCTTGTGCATATTGTGCAGCATTTAGCCTATTCATGTCATTGAATTAATGTTTTATAGATTAACAGATTATGCTTTGTTCCTTTATATATTGTAATTATGAATGCAAGGGAGTTCACAGAAATAAGTTGCAACCATAAATCCACTCTCAACTGACGTAAACAATATTCACCAACTTTTTTTGTGCCTTGTAAGCATTATTGTAATATTTGCTGTAGCTCATCATTGTCAGTGGTCTCTACCACCAGAACAGCATATTTAATCATACCAGAAAACATTGTTTTAACAGCAAATCAAGTAAATAATTTGTGGATTTCAACAGAGATTTTCAGCTCTCTGTGCTTTTTCAGTAGCAATTATGAGATTAAAGCACCTTAGGGAAATGTTTTTAGCACTGACATCTTTGTTCCCTCATAGATATTTGATTCGTTCTGACCCTCTGGCTCACGTCCCTGAGGTGCCTCCTGTCCACAGCAGCAGCCTGAAAGAGAGACACAAGTCCAGCATAGACACCAAAGAGGACACCCCACTCTGACGCAGCGCTGGCCTTTAACTGGACCGCCTCCCTCCCTCCACCCCCCACTCCCTCTCAGTTGGGATTTAGCTCTCTGAGTGCTGAAGCCCACAAATGTATAATGTGAGTGCCTACTGCCTGTCTGATCACATTGGATATCATGTTTGCCATTTTCATCATCTTGCTGCAAATGCTGTACATATGAATACTGCATCACTCTCTTTTCAGCTCTTTGAATATGCAGGGATTTCAGGGAGGCTTATCCTACTTGCTGTTGTGTTTGGTTAGAATTAAAATGAACTTCTTGGATTTGTATCTTCACTTTAACCAAACACTTCTAAGTTAATTCAACTTAAATCTGGTTTTCATATATTTGGTAATGAAGTTGGAGGCTTTATCCCACTTTTTAAGTCTCTTTGCTGTTGTTGGAAACAAGGAGTACAACAGACGGATGATTAACTTTTCAGGTTTCACACATCTGAACATTTACAACTCTGCTAAAATCGTGCAGCTACAATCAAAAAGCCCCAAGTGACTTAAGCTAAATGTGTGCATTAAAGCTTTCAGACTCATTTATAGATAAATCCTTGAGGTATTCATTAGTGCCACTAAGATCTAAGTCAGTGGTTCATGTACAAAATGACTCAGTTCAGCTCTATAAACTGGTTGTGTTAATATTCAGCATCCTACCATACAGGTTTGTTTAATTTTTTTGGCTATGCTCCTATAGTGCCAGAAAGACTAGAGATTTGTATGGAGACTCCAGATTTTAAGATTTAATTTATTTAAAAAAGCTATCCAAGTCAAATGTGAAAAATATCAAAATAAAAGTGATATCAAACTTTTTTGACAGCTGGCAATGAGTTCTTGCCGTCGCCATTGAGGGATTTCATCCCGCTCTTCTTTGCAGAATTGTTTTAATTCTGCCTCAACAGTCAGAAACTAATAATTTTATCTTTACGGATTTGATGGTAGACAACAGAGCACATGGTTTATCAATTGTGGCAAGACGCTCAGGTCGTCCATCTGTCTCTGTGCAGTGCAATGCTAGTCAGCTAGCTGAATGAAGCTTCCTACTTTTCCCTTTCAAGACAGAAAAATCCACCTAGAAGTCCTACAAATGGCATGTTAAGCAGCTGGTTACCTGAGCAGCTAGGCTGACTGATTAGCCACCTAATCTCAAATTGTTGAGCAAAACTGGGTGTAAAAAGGTGAAAAGTAGGAAAAAAAAAGGTGTACTATTCAGCACCATTAGCACTTAAAAACATTCATTAGCCTACGTGGGTTTCTATAAAAACTTTCCTGATGCCTTTGTACATATATAAAATTTATATATATGACTTACAACATTAATTTATCTATAACAATTTACATGTTATGTTGTTTTAGTCACATCAGTGACACAGATTAGCATACAGTGAGAATCTCATACCAGTCCATGCCTATTTGTACCACATCAGGAATCAGAGAACGTCGTGTTGCTCTATGAAGGCATCGCTTATTAATTGTTTGACTGTTGAGCACGGTGTGTACCTCTTCGGACTTTTTGCATTAAGGTCTGACTTTGTACCAATTTCAGTGTTTACTATATTTGTACTTGATCACAGTTTTATGTGCACATTAAAGTGCTCTAAAATACATAAAATCGCTTTGAGTCATGTGTTCCTTTCTTTCAATGTAAATTTTGGACCCAATCAAGGTGTGAACACTATTATAAATGATTTGTGAAGGGTGTTTGGTGACTTTAATATAAAAAGTTAAATTTCCTATAATTACAATTATGTTATTACACAGACATGTCTGCATGCAAGCATCGTTTTTTTAAAGGTAAAAAACCTGAAAGTTTTTTAAGTAAGTCACATATACTTACTTACTTTTTAGATTTGCATAGATAAACTGTGAACTCCAGCTAAGTTTAGCGACTAGTTATTTTACCTTTCAGGGATTCTCTTTATTTAATGGAAATTGCTTAATCACTTCAACTTTTATCTAAAATGGACGCTTGAGGAAACAAGCTCTAAAATTCTGGTTTTATGAAAGAGCAGCAAGAAGAAAGAAATTGTTGGACGAAAACTACATGATGCTTTGTTAGCGGTTTCATACAAGCAGGAGCAAAACATGTGGCAGAAGGTGCTTTGGTCAAATTAATTTCTCAGCAAAAGTGCTACATGCAGAAGAAATGGAGCAACGCACGGCACCCTGAAAATATCATCCTCATGATACACAGTGGCGCCATCATCAGGCCAATACCAACACAGGTTAATCTTAGACAACCTGCCAAAGGGTGTAAAAGACCTGAGGCTTGGGTAGACATTAAAAACTGAAAATTCATCCCATCTGTTTGAAAATATATATATAAGGATGACCAGCAATTTCAGTCTATAGGTATGTAAGGCTCATAAGACTCAGAAAGGTCATTGCAGAAAAAGGTATTGACTCAGTATGGCTAAATAAAAATGCTCAACAATTTGTTCTGATTTTTATTTGTAAAAGAAAAAAATAATAATAATTTTCCTTCCACCTCATATTATGCACTACTGTATGGATGTTGGTCTTACATAATGGATGCATTATGACAACACAGGGACAGACTTAAAGGGTTATGAACAGTTTGTCAAGGCACTTTATAAACGACCAAAAGCTTGTTTGTTCTTCACTGTGATTTGACTTCTCCCTTCTATCTGCTGTTTTGATTGTGTCACTTGTACATTATCGAAGCGATATATCCCTCACAAACACAGCCTTTACTACCATTACATGTAATTAAGATTGAATAGGCATTCCTAGACTCAGACTGCGAGATCTGTAAAGGAAGAATAGAAAAAAAAAGTGTTCTGTTTTTATAAGGAACTGGTACAATTTTAGCAAGAAAAATGTACCTAGTTGCACTTTATTATATATCCTCAAAATAAATAAACACAAAATAAATAACTAAAATCAGACAGAACATCTCTTTAACATAATAAACTTTAAAATAGTGCCTAGGTTTTTTTTTTCTTTTTTAGTAAAAAGAACTTGTACGTAATGTACAGAAAACACTGTTCAAAAATGTACAAAATGCAGCAAACAAATATATCAAATATAGTGCAGGTTTTTTTCCAAACAATATACTAACACTGACAACTGGTCATTAGCAGGTAATAGCTGTGCCACGTAATAACATGTAATAACAACGTATGAGCAGCAAACAGCTTTGCGACATAACTTTGTTGTTTTGATTAATGGATTATGTAGTTAATGAATTATCACACACAAATGGTATTAGCTTAATGCAGTCCAAAAAATACTTCATGTGTAGGATGGATAGTAGAATGTTTCCCTTACTTGACAACAGAAAATAGGTCCAAATTAAAATAAATAGAAATAAATTAATAGTTAAGATTTAAAGCATAATTATCAGATCGATGAACCCTATCCCACCAATCATTCACACCTCCAAACACACTAAACTGGACAAATACCACCATTTATCCTGTACATACACTCAAAGTACCTTCAAAGTTCCTTCTTTATAAAAGCAGATACAGTCTCGCGGAATCTCAGTAGATTTTTTTTATTTTGCTTTTTTTTTAATGCGAAGCTGAGCCAGCAAACTTTGACGACTTGCCTCGGTTCATCACAGCCTGCCGTAAGCTGCACTTTGTGTCGGTGGCATGTTTACTTCTGGAAGGAGATTCAGCGGGATAAGACTTGGTGACTTCGGGTTATGATGAAATTAAATTATCAAAGTGTGTGACATGCATAAGAACCGGGTAATAAAATGAAGACCGCGAGTAGGTGAGTTGGTACTCACACTGCCACAGACCATCTAGCTCTCTCTCTCTCTAAATCTCGTCAGTCTTCTCCAAGATGTTTGGGTCCTGCCCAACTGTAGCTTATTAAACACAGACGGTAAAGTGTGCAAGTCCCGCTCATTTTCTGCGAGCGCTCCCTGGTCTCCTGATCTGCCACAGGTGATTTTGGATGGTCAGAGCGTCCACGCTAACGGACACGGTCTTGGCGGGGATCACGGTGAACTGCTTGCGGTCTGAGTTGTACTTGTACAGCTTGTCGATCATCTTTTGAGTGATGGCGCGCGGCCCAATGCCCGTGTACTTGACAATCACCTCGGTGTCTGGTGAGTACGTGTAAATGGCGCGGAACTGACACCCGCCGTCGCGGAAGAGGATGAACAGGTGGTTGGATTCACACTTTTCCAACTCCTGGGAAACACAAACGAGAGTTTCAGTCTGGGAACACAACGAAATGCATGAAGATCACAAAAGTTTTATGTGCGCAGCTTGGACTGATTCCAGGAGATTTCACTGACCTCAAGGGTGACATTTTTCTGGACCTCGTTAACTTTTCCAGCCAGGCAGCAGTGGGCGATGGCATTGATGATGATTGGCTTATTGGATTTTGAGCTAGGCTCCTTGAAGAGTTTAGGACCTTTAAGAAACAAAATGTTATTATTTATTTATTTTTTTTTTTTAAGTTTGTACTTCAAGATGTCCTCCATAATTTGGATCACACATTTGACATAAATGTAAACGTTTGTGTCGGTAGCTGATAAACTGGGACCAAAATACTGAGATACAGTGACTGCTGTTTTTGTAATGCTAGCTGTGCTAATTGGGCAAATTGCTAAGTAAAAATCCTAAAGACAGATTACAACATTATTAATTATTTTTGTAGTTTTTAAAATATTAGATGAGTCCAATTTTCCAGTCACTTCTCTCTAACACAGCAGTGTGTTAGAGAGGAAGCCTACAGAAAATTGCTCTTCTTTCTCATTTTGTTCCATCATTGGGACAAAAAGCTTCACTGAGAGTACATTTAAATCTCCCATTCACTGTGACCTTATGTACCACCTAATGTCCAATCAACATGTAAGAGGGATATCGGATGGTGCTCATAGCAACCAAATCTCTCACCAGTAGAATCAATGGTAATGAATAATTACTTTCCAGGAGTCTTATGCGTCTTTTCTTTTACTTGTCAGCATAATCCTTCTGGATTTCTGCATTTCTGCTCACCGTTGTACTCCACTGAAGTGACGGATGAGGCTATGGAGACGTTCTCCCAGTCCCGATCCATGTTCCTGCTGGAAGCTCTGCTCAACATGGGGAACGAATCCACAGAGCACACAGATGCAGCCCTTGTTGACACGTTAAACACAAGTCAGTCGGATAAGCACAAGGATACGCAAGGTTCAGAATCTGAGCAGTGAATTGTCAAGCGCAAGTTCTCACCTGTTTGAGTCTGCCCCGCCAGAGATGACGCTGTCTGCATCCGTTGCTAGGGAAAGTGTTGATCCACGATGACTGAAGCTTAAGTCAGCTAAAAAGAGGGAGAGAAGGTAGCATCAGTGTATTTTACAGTTCACATTTGATTGGCCCCATTCTGATCCTACCGAACAGTTACAACAAGTAGTCACTTTGATACAGCAGATAAGATTCACCAAATACTAGTATTCATTAAAAAGTATATATAAAGCATATATACATATATGAACATATAGTTTAAATAGTGTGTTTTTTGTTTTGTTTTGTTCATTTTTGCTTAATAAGCTGTACATGCTTGTTTGACATGATGCAGAGCAGGTTAGAGACATTCACCTCCCCTGCTGGCTGCTCCTGAACTCTGGTTTTTCATTAACATAGAGACCTTCAGAGAATCACCTGCGTGACACACATGCATGCACATATTTACGGGGGGACACAGCAAGCACACAGGACACTAAAGTCAACCAAAGTCATAATTAAACAAACATCTAAACAAATCAAGACAACATAGAACACGTTGTAAGCCCCAACGATGGTCTTACGTGTGGTGGATCCTTTGGGGAGGCTGCTGGAATATCCCCGGTGCATTGATTTGGGTCTGTTCCCGCGGGGTTTGGTCTTGGTGCGGGGCTTGACCAGACCCTGCTCTTCCATAAGGGCTTCCTGCTTCCGCCGCAGATACTCCTGTTTAATAAGCTCTCGACGGGCCTTCTCCTCCTCCTTACGAATGCGGTCCTCCTCCGCCTTACGCCTTGAATAAACATCGCAACAGTTAAGGCTTCCCATTTTATTTATTTTTTTTTCGTGAAAACAATCCAAGTGCAAGCTACGTTATTTTTCTTGTGCACGAGTCTGGGCCAGAACGTACCGGGCTTCGTCACGTTTGATCTCGCTCTCTGCTTCTTGCTGCTGTTTCCGGAGTCTCGCCTCCTCAGCTTTGCGCTGCTGTTTGAGGAGGAAGGCAGCGCGGCGTTTTGCCATTTCATCCTCTGCCTTCTCATCATCCTGAAAAATTTGAAATACAGTGCTGTGCCTTGAGAAGTTATCTTTTTTCCCTTGACCCTTTCCCCATTTTATCATGTCACATGTTCATGTGATAGAACAATATAAAATGGCTCTGGAAGTGGAAGGAAAATGACACAGTTTTAGCAATTGTTTAAGTATAAAAATTGTAAAAGTGTGATGTGTATTTATATTCAGTGCGTTTCTGTCTATATATCCATTACACTTAAAATTTAGTGCAACTAACAGACTTCAGATGCGAGTTAATAAGGCATTTGCTTTGTGTAATTTATTCTCAGCATAAAATCATCTATATCTGTTGGCCTAGTCGAAGGCCATGGCCTAAATTAAGAATGCAAAGAAGAACAATTAAATCTCCTCTCTCTAGATGTGCAGACATGCTCCAAAACACTTATAATTAAGTATGCCTCTACCCAGTACTAACTCATGGTAACTGAATATAAATGCACACAATTCATTCAAAGTTTATTTTTGAAAACCTTGTTTCCGATTCTTTCTACATCACATGCATTACATGTGATGCTTTACCACAATATTCCTAATGCATGTTTGTAGTTACAAATGAACTATAGTCTTTTTGCTCATCTGTGAAGACGAGGCTCTGTACATGTCATTGCTCCAGACACGCAAAAGCAACAACTTTTGGATTTACCTTAAAAAAGAAGCCCAGCCCTCCTTTCTGCTCTCCTTCTGCTGTGCTGTCTGTGATATCTGCACCACCGTCCTCCACTGGATCCTTGAGCTCTGACAGGTCGACCTCGATCAGCTGACTCTTGACCCTGCCGCTCTCATCGACGTCGACGTTCTGTTTGTTGCAGTTGGTGGTTAGTTCCTCCTCTTGCCCTGCATCCTGTGATGCAGATTCAGACGTCTTGGTAACAACTGTCGAGTCTTGCGATTTCAGTTTGTCTGACAACTGCACATCTCTGTCCCCGTTGCTTTCATGGACTCTGAAGGTAGAGTTCCTCTGAACTCCAGCTGTCTCCAGTTCTCCATCGTTACATCCTCTCGAAGGAGTGTTACTCCCTGGGATTGGGTCGGTGGACTTGGTTAGGGCAGACTTCTTATTTGCTTTATTTTGTTTGCGTTCTGCCGCTTTGCTGCGCTGGCTGGAGCTGAGTTTGGGGGGACGGCGAAAAGGCACCGAACTGCTGCCGCCGATATCTACAAAGTGAACTGCAAAGGATCTTGAGTCTGAGGTAGAGGATACTGTTTGGGGTGTGGTGGGGTCGATCCCAGAGTCTGTGCTTTTCTCCGTTTGTGCATGGTCTGGTGGTGAGGCAACACTTTGCTTCATTAGAAAATCTTGCTGAAGGGAAAGCTGCATCATCTGTTGCTGGATGGAGCTAATAGCTTGATTGAGCAGGTCTAAGGAGTTTGAACATTCGTTGAAATCCGGTCCAGCGCTATTATCCTGGGTAAGGGTGTTCCAGCTGTTGTCTCTGGTCATTGTCCACCCGTCTGTTTGACTTTTCAGGGAATCGAGACAGGAATCGTCTTTACAAGCTTGGGTCTTTGCTTTCCTCCTCTCTGCAGCTGTTGATCCAGAAGAGTCAAGGGAGTGTTTCACAGGTAAAGGAAGTGTGTCGCTCTTCCCTCCACCCATTTTAACAATGTTCAAAAATGCAGCTTTCCCAAGCTTCAGTCTCTGCTTAGCATTCAGGGCTTCCATCTTCTTCTTCTGATATTCTATTGCACGCCTCTGCTCTTCCAGCTGCATGTGAAGCTGTAGCAGCTGTGAAGGCACAACCGGACCAGCCGTTACATTCTTCCCCAACATGGTGCTAGTCTCCTTCGCATGCCACTGAGGGGGAACCTCTGAACCATCCGGCGTAGTCTTTTGGGAGCTGCTCGTACTTGAGCATCCATCACGAAGGCCAAGTTTAAGCAGCTTTCTCTCTGCAAAGCTGGTCATCTTGATCCCCGCACTCCCCGAAGCACTGCAGCTGCTTGCCCACGACACAGTGCTGGGACAAGGACTTGAACGTCCGCTTGCATCTTCCTTATCCTCATGCTCGCTTACCTTCAAGTCTTCTCGAAGCTTTGCTGACTCAACTTCTCCGTCTCCAAATTCAGCTATGTAGCCCTCGACTAAACGATTCCCCCTCAGCGTCTTCTCCAGCTCTGTCTGATCGTCCTCATCATCTTCCTCAAGGTCTGCAATATCTGAATCAGAGTCATGCCCTGCCTCTGTCGCTGTGGTGTGTGGAGTCTTCTCTGGTTCGACAGCCAGGTGAAGAAAAAAGCCTGGAGGCTCTGAGCTACCAACTGGCCCGTCAGTATGGGGTCTGGAAGAACTGAGAACTGAATCAACCACACAGTGTTTCTTTTTTGAGGAGGAAGGGATATTTTCAGTTCTTGTTTTGGCAGCCACCGCCCTGCTGCGACTCTCCCCACTTTCCTCCTGCTTGTTCAGCAATATTCCCTTCTCCTTGGCTGGCTTAGGGGTAGTTGGCATCAAAGGCTCCAGATAGTAGCCGTCTGTCTGACGGTCGAGAGCAAAGGGGCTCACATCGTGACGGAAAACATCGGAATCCCTGGCGGACGATGGTAGTTTCTGCGCTTCCAGCTCATCCTGCTCCATGTCGCTGCCAATTCGGTGTCGAGGAAAAGCAGATGGGTGAATAACAGAAACCAGTTCCTCCTCCTCGATTTCCTCCTCTTCGTCTTCTACGCGCATGTGACAGAGCAGACTTTGGCCACTGAGTCGGTGCTGAGGCAGACTGGACCCCAGCATGTGTTTGGGGGTTATGCTCACGATGTTAGAGGTCAGGCTGTCCTTGCTTATGGTGCGAGCGAGGCTAAGGCTGTCTGCATTGTCCTCCTTGGCAAAATGCACAGCATACGGCACTGGTTGGGACACAGGTCTAACAGAGTAGAGGGACACCATGAGTTTTACAGGCAACTGTCGAACAACTGAATTTGTACACCCACCTCTACTGCTGCCACAAACTGAGAGCTGCTTTTATCAGATGTAAACAGAAGTAATCATAACCTCACCTGGTCCTTCTTTCTGGCCACGCCACTACTGAATCCTGGCATTGTCCATCTGTTCGCGCCGTCGAGTTTGACCTTTTCCTCAAGTCTGTGAGGAGCAAATATTAGTCATATACAAGGAATTATTTGACAAATCTGCAAAATCTATAGCAAATCATTTTAAATTTAAAGTCTGGGATCTTCAAACAAACTCACGCCACTTTTCATACAAGTAATAACTAGTTAGCAGTGAATACAAAGGAACGGAAGAAAGACACGTTGAAGACTATCGGGTTCTCATGACCCATTTTTATTCTCACTCAGGAGTAAAACCAAGATGCAGTTCCTCCATGAAATATTATGACCACCAGAATTTTTTCCGAGTTTATCACCTTGCAACCAAAAACTTTTATATACTTTAATAGTGTGGTATGAGAAGGATCAGTGCTAAGCAGCGGGCAATTGTAAGAAAGATACAGTACTTGTCCCCAAGAGTCTACAATTATTAGAATATGTGCACCAATATGATTTGTACCACCTGAAGTGCTCTTCTCACCCAAGTTTTGTTGTCTCTGTCTCAGTGGCAGTAATGAATGAGATGGACTAGAGGTTGATGTGGCGCTGAGAAAGAAAAACAGAGAAAATCAGTATTAGATTAAAATCATTTTAAATACAAGTTGTCTTAAACACATTTCTGTAGCCATAATCCTACTAATGCAACATCTGCTTACACACAGACTTTTGGTCCAGTTGTATTTATCATTGTATTAATGTCCTGAATAGTAATAAAGTTGCTTAGTTGTGAAGTGTATCGATAAAAAGCATCTACTGAATATGTATATTAATTGTACGTATACAGTACAAATTTGAAAGCCTATTTTTTTAGCAATAAATTAAAGATGTCACAATTTAGACAAGAACACGCAAACATCCAAATGGACCGGTTCTAGTAGAATTTCCTATACAAAAAAAAAAAAAAAAAGAAAATCCACAGGATGATACTAAATTATTATTTAAGCATTTTTGGCTTAATACCTTTGGTCATTTGTGGAGGTTGTGGTCAAGATGTCCACTGAGTATGATGAAGGCATGAAGCATTGTTTAGTGACATTTGAGGCGGGTGCATAGGACCGAGAATTCTTGGGCTGCAGCAGGGCTCTTACTAAAAAGTAACACACAAGGAAAAAAACCCAAAAACAATAAAAAAAACCCCACAAAAAGCAGTCAGAATTAATAATAAAAATAAGAGACTGCTTCGTCTTGCTTTAATCTAAATTAATTTAGTTACATAAGCTTAAGAAAATGTATTACGTAAAAAAAAAATATATTTTACCATCTTTGACATCCTGAAGGTCTCTGGGATGTACAAAGTCAGGCTTCACATTCTCAAACCACCAGAAAAGCTCAGCAATGAAGACCATAACATTGTTCTGAATGACAGAAAACATACAACGTGACTAATGTTAAGAGATACACATGGCTAGGTGTCTCAAAGTCTCTACCTTTAAATGAAACTGTTCATATTTTGTTGAAGACAGAGACAAACTGAACTTGTGCTCATTTCTCAAGACTTTCATCAATATCAGATCAGTGGACCAAAAGCAGGTGGGACATTGTAATAAGCAAAAAAAAATAACTGAAAAACATGTTCTATAGTGATAGCTTATAGGGAGAGCAGCAAAGTCTTAAGAAGACATATTTTATATCTGAAAACCAAATATTTATATCACTACATCTACGATTAGCATCCTGAAAATGACTGCATCCATCCATTTTCTATGAGACCAATGAGAGGGAGGCGGCTATTTCCAGAAGTCAAGGAATTAAAAGTGGGAAATATCCTGTTTTGTTTTTTTGTCAATTTGTCTAAGTGCAACACAGAAATGTGCAGCACATACAACAATGTGCACATACACAAACCTAAAGCTAATGTAAAGTGGCCAGTCAATCTAATGAGCCCGCAGACGGCACATGGAAAACATAGAAACTATAAACTGGAAGGACTCAGTTAGGACTCAGCAGTGCCAACATCTGTGTGTCAGTGCAGCCCAAAACAACTCCAAAGAAACCTTTTCTGTTTACCTTCAACACAGGTGGTGAGTAGAGCAGATCCTCCGGGTTCAGGAAGAAGCACTCGTTCAAATACTCATTAGAAAACTCCTTCAGCAGCTGGATGTTGTACATGCTGTCTGCTATGGAGGGAACCTCCTTCAAGCAGATATCTGCACTCAACACAACACTAATTGTTAATAACAAATGGCCTATTTTTTAAGACAGTGTTTCTTTTTTTTTTATTTCAGACATTTGCATTTTGGAAGATGCTCTTATGTCATATGTTGTGGGATTCATCATCCTGGGTTTTTTGGGTTAGGGTTTTCTTTTGTGTTTGGATTTTGAACATTTTCTTATGATTTATGTTCAATAGTTCTTAGCACATTCAGTTAATTTCCTTGTGTTCATTATTGCGAGTGTGTGGGTGTGAAATTTGCTACTGACCCAAGAGGATTCAAAGTTAGATATTAGCTATAAGTGAACTATAGGATCAAAGTAGAGGAAGAGAAAAAAAATTCTAAGATATTTATAAGGAAACTGTTCTGTACGAGCATGTTGGATGTTTATTAGGTGTTCTACAACACAAAGCTAAAGTTCAGTGGACGCCTGGTCATTTCACTGTTTTGATAATTTTGCACTTCTGTGTCTGATTTTCTATCAACTCTTAATCATTTCATTTTTTATTTTAAATTAATGATGGCATATTTTAGAGCGACTCTTATCTTACATGGCGTGATGACGCCTCTGCTAATAAACAAATTAGTTTATCACTACTCATAGCAAAAGAACTGAAATAACAAAAAATATATATATGATAGGTTTAAAAGATAAATTGTAATCAGCTCTGATCAGTATCAGCAGAACATCAGCAATAAATCTGATTGATTGATCTACTTTATTCTTAAGGGAAGATTTTAAATCTTGAAAATCGAGAAAAGGAAAAACTTAAAAAAAAAAATAAAAAAAAATAAAACAACTTCTCTAACCTTCGAGTTTAACGACTTCTGGGCAATAGAAGTGGATCACAGCAAGCAGGGCTGTGCCGTCGCTCACATCCTTCGATATGTCTTCCACCAAGGGGAAGTGCTGAAGAGTGCGACCTGAAAGATGATCTCTGCGGTACCGCACCTACGGAGCAGGACAGCATCCATGTTTACAAAATGAACACGAGCTTATTTGATCAATCAGAAAGCCACATACACACTTGTCACACACAGACACAATACGTCTAACTTTGTGAATACTCCTCTGCCTCACTTTAACATGCATACTGTGCAGCAGATGTCCGAAAGTGGTTCTGACTACTTTATGGTATTCATATAATTTACATTGTATCAAATCAGCTGCCTTGTGTATCTGTTATTTTAGTGTCTGCCTTCACCTATAGGAGCTGGCATGACGTCAGCAGTATTAAGTTATAACGACGAATTGCTGAAAACAACATTTAGGGTTAATGGAGACAAAAGGGAGATTTAAGGTTAAAGTGAAACACAAAGGGGTCAGTGATGGGTACGTTACCACACGAGAGAACTCCACAGGCTCCAATAAACAATGGGCCAGAGCATGCCATAAATCAGGCTGGTGAGGGAAGACAGAAATCATTTGGTGGACGAAATGAAACATGGAATGAAACATGCAGTGTGTGGATATGCGGAGCAATCTGAAACTGTGCTTTATGCATGCTGCTTGACAGTATCGATGTGCTTGAAGTGAACTGAAGTTCCTCTCTGTGAGAATATTTTAACAGGGGCAGATGTCTGTAGAAGGAATAGCTAGAGTTTCAAAATTTCAAAATGAAACTGCTTTCCCAACAGGAAAAGCAGTTTCATGCGTTGGTTGTTTCTTGTTTTGCCACTAGGTGGCACATGGTATTTCTCCCTGTGCATACCACAGTGTTTCTATGAAGGTGTTTCATTCATTATGCTTTCTTCTTCTTCTTCTTTCTTCTTCTTCTTCTTCTTCTTCTTCTTCTTCTTCTTCTTCTTCTTCTTCTTCTTCTTCTACTTCTTCTTCTTCTTAACTCTCTTCAAAGCTTATTTTAATGTAACTTTCCTAGCATGTGTCCAAGTGTGAAACATACGTACACAACTGCATTCAACTCTGACACACGTACAAACACGAGGATAGCAAACGTTTACACTTACAGGTACAAGCTTCCAGTACCATTTGGAGGGAGACTAGTTTCCGAGAGGCACACAGGGAGGAAGGTTAATGGGACACAAACAGGGAGAGCAGCAGACAAGTAAAGGGTCAGATACAGGAACACTGAATCAGAACTACCTCCTGGTAGACAGGAGATAGGTCTGATAGGAATGGATATGGAAAAGGGTTAGGCTGAAACACATCACAAACAATGTCATTTTTAAGTACAGTTAACAACAAATATTGCATCAACTCTCAACAAACTAGAAAAAGAAATGCATAAGTTAATTTCTGCAATTCAAAACTTTGTAATAGTTCAAGTTCATGATAGATTTCACATGTTTATTTCTGGCAATTATCACTAGCAGCTAATCTCAAATTCAGCTTCACTTGTATGTGCCTGCCTGTAAGCTGAAAGTATTTTATAGAAAGTGGCTAAGTGTGGCATATGGGATTTTGTCATAAAGAAACACACAAGAAAAACAGAATAAAAGCACAACAGGGGGGATCACACACTGACACAAGTGTCCACAAACAGGCTATGACAGTTCACAAGGTCAACAAGACCATTACAGTCAACAAGCATAGCTACATTTAAATACACACCCAACTACATTTGGTGTGTGTTTAACACACCAAGCCTTTTAAGCGCTTCGGTGAGATGGAAGCACAGAGAATCGTGTACCTTGTGGTGGCTGGGTGACTCCAGAAAGTGCTGCTTCACTTTACACTCTTTTTCTGTCAGCTCCCTCATTTTTATGGTAATCTAATGTAAAAAAAACAAACAGACAAACAAACAAAAAAAAACTGTGTAAGTTGATATCATTTAAAGCATTCAAAAATAAAAACAGAACAGATCTGAGTGATTAAAACCTTGTTGATCCAAAGGATCATAGCCTCTTCCAGGTTGTAAGGAAGCTCTTTGGAGGCACTGATGTTTGAAAAGCGTTTGACACACGACACCACCTTCTCTACGCTGATCATTTCCACTGTGTAGGCCATCATCAGAGCATCAATGAGGTGGATGTGGGCACTCTGGGAAAAGAAAGAGATTTGGAATTTGTTTTACTTCATGATCATTGAGAATATGAAGTAGAATGACAAGGAAAGACAGAATTTTCATTTGTTTCAACTTCTAATGGCTGCCTCAGACTCTTAAGTGCCTCTATTGGAGGACAAACGCATCCATTTACTGAGCAAACATTATTCTCAGGGTTCGTTTCTCAACCAGCTTTAGATGATTATGTGTTTTCACAACTGTGGGAGATATAACTAGCATCTCCGTGGAAAGGATTCCCATTAAATAAGCATGTTGCACATTGTGCCTCATAAATATTCTTGCAAAGACTCTAAATCTGACAAAACTGTCACGTCAGATATGAAATTATTTACTGCAACATTCTAAGCTTGTATTTGTATAATGAAAGCAGCTAAAAGCCAAATGGGAAGTTTTAACATCCAGATTCTCCCCAGGCCTCCTGCTTTTGTGCTGGACTTCTCTCAGTCATGGATTAAAACATGTCTGGACAAGTTAGGTTTATAAAACGAATTCTAAAATGCTCATAATCTAATTCAGACACATCAGACCATTTTCTTAGGCTTGTTGTAGCTGCCACAGCTTTTCGCTGCAGCTTTCAGAAGGAGGCACCGACCATTTTAATGGGAGACGAGCTGAGGTCCATGTCAGACACTGGTGTGCCGTTGGTCTCCAGGACATAGATCCCTTTTCTGGACAGGGCCTGGATGACAGACTGGTGGCTTTGGAGGTAGGCGGCCTGTTCAGCAGGAAGGATGAGCCCGCACACACGGCTGTAGAGCTCTCCAGACAGCAGCAGGTAGATGAGGGGGGGCTTGATGTGCTCCTGCTCATACTGGTCGGTATAGAATGGGTCTCGAAGATCTGGAGGGATGCGATCTGGAAAACAGTCGCAATGACATGACGTTTGAATTTCTCATGTTTTTACTGCCTCCCTTATCACCATCATTCATGCAACTTTTTTTTTTTTCTTGACACGTGTTTACTAGTTGCTCATGTTACATAACCACAAAGCTTTCAGTGAACAGACTATCGAGGTATTAGACTGTCTGACGGGGGGACAAACTCAGATGCTGAACAACATGTCAGCAAGGCATGCTGTGAACCAGAGGCTTTAAGTCAATGAGTTAACGGACTTAGAGGTGATGTTTTCCTGCTTGCGGTCACAGACGTGGTGGAAGTTATTTTTATATGCCTCCAACTTGTTAATCCAGATTTAAAGCCTGCAGGACTCTCAGCATTTAGCTTCCAGCACGTTCGGTGCTGACGCAGACAGGCGGTGGCAAGAACAGGGTTGTTTTATGTTTTTATCTATTTACATTGCAAAGAAATAGAAACAAACCCACTTCTGTTATTAAAGATTCATTTGGTTTACACAGTGGGTCAGATGAGATGACCAAAAGGACTCTCATTCAATGTCACATTTAAAGTTTCAATAATTGTCAATGGAAAACCAGCAAAAAACCAGTAACCTTTTATTTTTATCATGCTTTTCAGCACGTCAAAGAGCTTGAGAGTTTTCATGTTTGCATAAATTAAGTAAAGAAAATGTTGTCATTAAGCATCTTCAGTTTTAGACTTTGAACACCAGCAGACCAGCTGCTTCCTTTTTACATTGAGCAGGAAGTGAATGCTTCCTAAATTGAGACTTACTAGATTTTACTGCTCTTATTTGATCAGCTTTAGATCCAACCTAAGTGAAATGTACAGATAAGGAATACAATCCAAAGTCTTATTAAACATTTTTGTAGATAAGCGGTCTCCAAAGTTAACTTCTTGTGCTGCAACATCTACCAGGAAAAATATTGGTCAGATTAAAAAAAAAATAATAATAAATAAAGTAAATAAAAAAGCTTAAATAGGACAATAACTGTTATTAGCACTGTAAAACAGGATGAAAAGGGGTTCACAAAGCGATGCAATTCTAATTTTTTGCACCACATTCACAATGATTGCACTAAACACATGGCGATGCAATCACTCCCATAAAATCATTTTGTAATAGTCCTTTTGTTTCGTTTAACCAAGAGCCTAACCATGAACAAGCATGGCAAATAAGCTTCGGCTCTGTATGAATAAAGTGGATAATATTTGGTAGTACTCAACACACAAGCTAAATAGCCAAACTAAATAACCAAAAGAGGGCAGAGCCTTATGAAAAGTAAATAAACAGCAAGACTGGATCTGAACAGCAGAACTCTGTGAAGACTCAGCTGTGCGTTTCACATCCTGCTGCGTGCTTCACATGGTCTACACCACAATTTCTTCCTCACTCAGTGCTGAAGTCAGTATGTGTGCGTGAGCATCCGAGATCATGTATGAAACTGCTCTTTGCACACTACATCACGTCGGATTAAATCTCTCTAGTTTTGCCCCCGCTCCTCCTAAACACGCACCACTCTCTGTCCTGACTCTCCCTCGTCCTCAGCTGCCTTGAATGTCCCCTTGTCCTTCCTGGTTGCCGTGGTGATGGGTAATGAGACGGGAAATGCCAGGATGGCTAATGGTGGGGGCTGGGATGCTGTCCCATCTCCTGCTCATTTGATCATGTTACGGTGTGAGTGTGGAAGAGGAACTATAAGGGTTGAGGGAGAAGCTCCTCTGTAATCCTTACTGCTAATGCTTCGTCGATATTATCCACCTGATCTAAGCATCACAGCCCACCCTGGTGAGCTTGTGTGAGACTGTGAGGGGAATTAAGAAAGGTTGTCTGTGTGTGGGTTTATACGGGGAAAGGCTTTGTTCCTATTCAGGTGCTCTGTCAGACAGGATGCAAGGATCTTGCTGACAGACGATGCAGGGCTTTCAGACTCTGGGCAATGCAGCAGAAAGATGCGGCTCTTCATTTCCAGTAATAACGCTATAGTGGAGGTACTTACTGAAGAGCATGAGCTGAGAAAACAAAATCTTTACGATGCACGCATGGATACACCTGGGAGTCTTACCTAACAGAAAACAGTGGAAGGTGTAAAGTCAGGCTGGCAGCTTTTTCAGTTTGGACCAAGCCTTCAGTGTAGATCAGGACAAAAGGGGATTTTTATTCCCAAAAGTACTCCTTTAGTAGCTCTGGTACACTGTGTGTGATTTCATATGTCTATCATGTTCGAAATAAATAAATCTGAGTCTGAATTTAAATGGTCATTGCACTCTGACTTAAAATCAGCAGGATTTTGCTGCTGGACATAGAAGTCTCATTCAAAAACTATTAATAAAAAAACAGTAGAATCAAAATTAGATAATAAAAAAACAAAACAATGGTGTTTATTTTACTTTCTTGGACAAAATCTAGTAAAATAAGTTTCCAGTGGTCATGAATTAGCACGTTATGAGTCTAAACAAGAAAGCTTTGTTGAGCAGAACACAAGCCTTCAGGTCCAATCCCATTAAACACTTAAGCATGTGACTGGCTGACTCTGACTTTCACACCAGCTTAAAGACAACACAGTCCTCCCAGCACCACTGCGTTTGTGTGCAAGTTTGCATTTAAAGCTGATCAAAGTGGTTTTGGTCTTCTGTCCTAAATGCGACCTTAAGAAACCAGACACATTTACACTTTTATTCAAATTAAACGAAGCCACAGGGGTTTATTTTGTTGATTTTTGTTATATACTTGGCACTACAGTGTTAATTTGCCAAGAAGAGATAAGTTATGAAATACAAAAACATTTATCTTTTATAAGATTCAGGAAACAGCTTATATAGCACAAATGAACCTCTGTGAATGTACCCTTGGTGAGAAAATTATTCTAAAAACAACATAAAAAGTCAGAACACAGTTTGCAAATGCACTCAGGAACAAAGTAATTAGCTCCTGGAGACTCAACCCATGGTGTGGTGCAACGACAACGGAAGTGTTTGACAATAATGAATGTAAAAACCTAAGAAAAACAAAGTAAAAAAGTGGCAGGATCATGTTGTGCATCTTTCAAAATGCACAACGTCCCTATCCATCTTGCCAAATTAGTTAAAAAGTTGCTAAATGCTAAGTAGAGTAGCCATCACAAAAGCCTGATCTCATGGAGCGTTTACAAGCAGATCTGAAGGGGTGTGTGGGAAGAAGGAAGTTCTACCAATTATCAATCAAAATAGAAAAAAAAATGTTTGATCTTTTTACAGTCTACATAAATACATAAAGCTTTAGTCTTCACTAGCAAGCTGTGTATTTAGGGCTCTGTCTCCTTCTCTGTGTCAAGTTGCTGAGCTGTGCAAAGCAGAACTCCAGGAGGAAAGCCCCTCATCTAGTATTGCTGAGTCACAAACCGAATGTCATAACAACTATTCTGCAATTTGAGGTCTGCCCCAGTAGCTGCTTCCAAATCCATCATTGTCTCACTGGGGTCCGTGAACAGCGCCATTCACTTTGTGCTCAGCCTCCACAGAGAGCAGGCAGTGAGTGGCACAGAAACCCACATTAAAGGAGTCATTTCCTGACATTTACTAACCAGCGTGGCCATGTGGTCATTTTTAATGTTTTAACAGACCTTAATCTGAGCCAGCAATGTTAATGATCTCTGCAGAAAAGATGCAGTCTGAGTTTTCAGTCCCTACTGGAGGTCATATAAAACCTGCATTCTTGGTATTAAAGTCTGTCATTTGAAAAAGTGCCTCCTCATTAGACTTAAAAACAAAAACTAAACTAAATTACACCCAGCTATGAGTTATGAATAGGTGCATAAACCCTTTATTTTTATTTAAAAAGTGAGCCTTAGAAGCCTTAAAAATTGCAGCATGACCCTTTCTGTTTTTGAAGACCTTTATCATTAAAAATAAAAGGTGGCCTTGGATCAGCTGACACAGGGGTACAGCTCGGATAGGTCAGCAGTCCTTCACGGGGCAAAATCACAGAGAGACGAGTGCCTACATTCACAGTAAGAGATGACATCGATTCACAGATTAACCTATGAGGCAATTTAGCCGCGGCAGGAAACCTGAGCACACAGTGGGCGTACAGACGCTGCAAAATCAGTCCAAGTCTCACCAGCAGATTCATATGAGGAAAACAAAAATAGATTTTTAAGATTTAAAAATCTCCACATAGAAACAGCACATAGTTATTGCTGAGTAATACTCATAGGGTAGTGGCTAAAGTTAGCCAGTAGCTAGTAAAACAAATCCTTAGGTAAGATCTGATTTAAAGTCTGTTTAACTATTGTTTCTTTTCTTGTTTTTATTAACTAATTAGTATTTTAGCCTGTTTAATGTCACACTGAGGTCAACTGAAGAACTATGAAGGAAAAAGTCCTTGATTTAAGAAGTTTGTACAGTGTCAAGTTTGTGATTTTTGTCCAAAAGAACAATAAATAACCCATCAAAAATGGCAAAAGATTTTAATAGAAAAGCATAGCAGCAGAGGAAGATTACACACCTACAGGTTGATTTTGTTTATTGAATTTTTCATCCCATATGATTGTTTCTTTTCATTTTAAAGCACCTACAAACAATAAACTACTACACAGACAGAACAAAGTTTTCAAATAGCATGAAGCATAATGTTAGAGAAGTATCTCAAAAGATGTGCAGCTGTAAGTGCAGCAAAAAGTGGTTGTACTAATGCATGTGTCGTAATAATAGTCAACGAAAAATGTGATGGAATTTATTTGCCAGGCTTATAGGCAGTTAGTTGCTGGTGTGGTTTATTTATTTATTTTTTAATAGTTCATTTAAACCTTTTATTATTTTGTCACATTACAACCACAAATTACAGTGTACTTTATTGGACATCCGTGTTTGATAAATGGACTTTATAAATTTGAAGTTAAATTACGATTTACCTTTTTTTTTATAAGAATCTGAAAAGTGTTGCATGCATTAGCACAACCACTTCTTGCTGCACTTACAGCCGCACATCTTTTGAGATACTTCTCTAACGGTTTTTTACATAAGGTGACTCATATGTTTGCCCCTTTTTTTTTTTTTTAAGAAAAAAAGTTTTATTTCAGTGAGATGAAATAATGAGCTTGTGAAAACATTACTTTTAAAGTCTCGACTGGATTTAAGTCTTGACTTTAACTTGGGAATTCTAGCACACATACTTGCTTTGATCGAACCTATTCGTTTGTTGTTCTACATACATGTCAAGGGTCATTCTTCTGCTGAAAGGTTAAGGATTTTGCAGCCACTATTTCCCTGAACATAGCTCCAACCATCTTCCTGTCAATCTTTAGCCAGACTCTCCAACCATATGTGGGGGAAAAAAAAAAGTATTCCCACAGGCTGGAAGACCAGACTTTTTACATATATTTCTGACAGAAAAATTACCTACTCTATTAAACAGACATATTGACTGATTTAATAAGCACCTCTCAGTAAGCAGAGAAGAAGAGAGAACCTTACTGTGACCATAGGCTTTGGCAAACAACCAGCGGAGATTTGCTTCTATTTTGGCCCTGGCGCAGTCATAGAGCTTCAGCTGTACAACCTGAGCCTCCATGCTCTCTCCTACTTCTCCTCTTCCTCCTCCGCCTCCATCATCCTCATCATCATCATCATCAGCTGCTGCTGCTGTTCTCCTCCAGGTGCTGTCCCTGCCAGCACTCACATCCATCCTGCAGGAAGAGACACAAAGATATTCCCTGCTAGTGGAGGCAAAGAGCATTACATCATCGAAGAACAAAACAAGCAGGCCCATGGTTCACCTGCTTTTGGCCATGGGACAAAATAAAACACGCCAATTCACCTTGTCTCACCTTGTCTCGCTGTCAAGTCACTTTATTCCCCTGAGCCTTTTTAATTCCGACTCTAAAGCAGTTTCTATGAATATCGGATGGTGATGTGTCGGGTTGAAAAGTCTACAAATGAGTGACAGTTTTCGTTTATAACCGATTATTTTTTTTGAAAAAATACAGCGTTACAATAAACAGCAGTTTTAACGCCAGAAACAGTAACTGATGACTATCCGAACAATACTAAGCTCGCGCTGACAGTGTGTCGGATGGCTAACCTGCGATCACAGTCATTTTAAGCAGCATTTACATAAAGAAAGACTCACTTCTAAGAGCACATTTGCGTCCTGTTCACAGCCTCAGCTTTTCGGGCAGGTGTAATGTTAAAACGTTGTCATGCTGGGCCTGGTTCCTCCAGTTAACGGTGGAATAACGGGAGACTCCTCCCTGTTCAGCGATACAAATCTCCGGCCTGTAGCTGGCGGTGGATGGTCGTTAATCCAATAATAAAAAAATCTGCGTGGGAACCATTCGGGCGTCCGTCTTCGAGGAAAATTGAAAGCGTAAACACTGGCTGCTTCATTTTGGAGCTGTCATCGCTCCGGACAGAGGAGTAACGGGTCTACCGGTGCACGGGCAGCCCTGTTTGTAGGAGCCTGTCTCTATGGGGACGGGTGTTACCGTCAATCTGCTTGCAATATACCAACTCACCAGCGGGGGGCGCTGTTGTTTTACATGCAGTGACTGCACATAAAGACAGTCGTACCTCATTTAGTGTCAATCCAACTAACTGCAGGTGTTGTTTGGGAAATGTTCCTACCAGTTCTGCAACTTTAAAGGCTGGCTACAGGTTATGAAAAGGATTTAGGTCGGATTTTGACTAAACGATTCCATTAAATGCTTCTGCTTTTGTCTAAACCAAAGTCGGTCCTCGAGAACAGTTTCCCCCTTTTCCAACAACGATCCCATCAGTCTCTACTTCAGACACGCTAGCCGATCAAAAGATGTGTCGCCTCCATCATAACGTAGAAATGAGAACAATTGGCCAAAGCGCATTTAAAACTATGGCGTCTGCTGAGTGGGGGAATGTGAAGGCGGAAGAAACAAATAATGAAAAATGAAGAAGAAAGGAGAAGCACACTCTACATGTCTGCGGTGGAATTTTGAGAGCAAGACCTGAACGATGGCTCATCATGTGTGTCATGCATAATTGCTTTTAGTTATGTTCCTATGGAAACTGTGATGATCTTTCGGCCTGGCAAAAAGGGATGTTTCATCACCTTTGCCTCCTCAGGTTTTGGCTCACCACTATGGAGTTTGGATGCAGTGAGAGGCCCACAGGGGACCGAGTTGTTTGGGCTTCACAGGACAAACCACACAGCTCAGGAGAAATGGGGACTGCAGGAGCTTCATTTTAAGAAAATGTTGAAAGCAAAGAAAAGAGAACGGACAGACATTGGCTTGTATGTGTGGATTAAAGTATCATGAAGGGCAAATTCACCTTGTCTGATGAAAAAAATACTTTTTTTATACAGATGCTTGGCTAACACCACAATAAAAAGTATATTTATGTCTATAGCAAACTTTTATTATATATGTCATACAGCTACAAAACAACATTAATGCCATAATAAAACAGTGTGCTTCGCTGCAGTCACACTTAGTAGCTGTAATTGGTGGCGTGTGCTTTGGAGTTTCTGTACTGATTAATTTTTTGCGAAGTGATAAAAGCTGGTAGCTCTTGCATTGTTACAGAATAGAGCTGTATTTCCCTCAGTCCGCTGGCTGCAATGAGTTTATGATACTGTAGGAGCCATTTATCCTTTCTGGTATTTTTCGCCACCAGGGGGCGTATTTAATTATGAGTTCTGAGTGTCTGATGGGGGGGATGGGTTATTTAAGGTCAACCATCATTCTGTTCAGGTGTTGTTAATGGGCGGAGGCAAACAGTTTTCTACTGTGCTTGGTTTTTGGATGTATGTCGAATTTATGTGGATCTTAAGGAAAACAGTAAGACAATGGACATTGTACTGGAAATAAATGACTTAACTTTATATCAAACGGAAGATCGGCATGCTGAATCTTAATTGAGCGCACGTAAAACCAATGCCTTTCAACAACAACAACCAGTAGCCTAAAATATAGGATTTTAGCCGCTACATTTAGGTAGAAAACTGCCTCGTTCGGAAGATCCACCGATCCTTCTGCATTGGGATTCCCCGTAGCCGTAAAGTAACGGCACAGAACCAGGCTAT